TGTGACCGCAACAAGGGCTCATCTCGATCCCAGTCATCCACTGGCAAACGAATAGAAGGGTAGTTCCCCCAAAAGTTTGACGTGGACCCAAACACCCACCATGTTGAAAGGAATCTCCTTTTGGGGGGCATTTGTAAGGAAGCATTCTCCCAGAAAGTGAAGGATCCCCTCTTAAATGAGAGACTCCCTTACCACAACCTCACAAAGAGTAATTACCCTTTCAAACAAAAATCAAACACCTGGATCGCCAGTTGCTGTTTGTGTTTTTGTTCCATGCACTTTACCCCAAAAATGCAATAGTGACTGAAAAAGGCAGCAACTTGGCTATCTAGGCACACGTGCAATGCCAGCCGAGTGTCCCCATCTCGCACGCTTTCTTCCAACGTGGATTCCACATCCAGCTGATGACCATCTGGCGCCAGCAGTCGCAGAAATCTGCGCCCCAAGTGACCTCATCTTCGAAGCCCCTACTACCCTGGGCTGCCCTCAGATCCCTCGCTTTGACTTTTCGTGGCTTAAATGGACATCCCCGCTAAACACGAAAAAGCTAAAAAGCTAAGGAACCGGATGGCAGGGAGCCACCAAGTACCGTATCGCTTTCGAGGAGGTTCCTTGGTATTAGGGAAATTGGCCGCCGATAAAGAACATAGCTTGCCCGGAAAAATTATGGCTGGTGTCCCTTCTTTAAGAAATCCGGGTAAATCCTAGTTGCCTTCATGGTTGCCTTGCTATATTTCGGGAATCAAGCAGACCTCTACTTGCATCATCCATCTTCGCGTTCCAGGGGCAGCCATTGCTCCACGGGTACAGGTGTGGTGAGATTGCTGTGGTGGATTATCAAAATAATATGTTTGTGGATGGTGTCCCTTCAAACTTGGGTGACAACCCACAACAAGGGTCCTATTACAAAGAGACGTTGACCCTGGAGTGTCCATGCTTGGTTTCCAAATATTTGTTCAAATGCCGGGGCTGCGCCTATGGGCAAAACAAGATCTTGTTTCGTATATCCAGATCCATTTCATGAGACGATGTCGGGGCATTCATTTTGTTTGGGCTAGCCGCCGCCCACGGATTCCCTCCAAGTTCCAAGTGAGTTGCCTATTTTCAGGGAAGTTTGAGTTCAGGTGCCCCTTTTCTAGGCACAGGGGCACGCATCCGTTTACAGGGGATTCACTGGGTTTTTGCAAAGGGGTCTCCGGAGAAATCATTTGGGACACCATGGCTTCAGGTTCCCATTTCTTATACCCAGAGTCTCCTTCTGACCCTTAAAAAAAACTGGTTAGTCATTAGCCCAAAGAAATTTGGAGTCATGTCCCCTTTTTCCATTGGGGTCATGACCGGAGACTCCAGGTACTCCCAAAATGGGCGAAGGACACCTCCTGTGTTCCTAGGCCTAATCCTCCAGAGCTTAGAAGGCTATACCCTTTTTCTGCCTATTTTCGTAGGGGGCCCCAAAAAAGAGGAAAACAAAAGGGCACTTCCGGGCTGCTGGGGGACCTAGTTGTGGTTTTCCAAAGTTTTGAAAGGGAAGCCGAGAGGAAAATCGGCTTGCCGATTCCCGGCCAAAGACAGACCCAAATATCAGCATGCCCCAGGCATGTGAATTGCGGGTTGGTGTATCGCCATATTTCCGAAGGGGAAACAAGGGGTACCTGCCCATCACGTGGTTTCTCAGAAAGAAAGCTGGACATCAGGAATCCCAGAGATCGCCATAAAATAGGCAGACATTAAACCCTCTGGCTGCAGGCAACGGGCTGGCTTTCAGTGGAATCCAATCTAAAGGGGAAACTACCCATTTTGTGGGGCCCGCCTGGATAGCCAAGTTGCTGTTTTGTTTCAGTCACTGTTGCGATCGGTTTTTGTGGTAAAGGCGGTCCCAAATTTGGGTGTCGCAAGCTAGGACAACCCCTCAAAATGGGTGGGTTTCCTTTTTGATAACTTTCAAAACAGCCAACAAAGATGCTCCCGAAGAGAGACACAAACAAAAAAAAATAAAAATGGGTACCCTCCAGTTTGTCGGTTTCCCTTTCAAACACCCAATCGCTCAAAATGGGCAGACAATCAAAACCTGCGGTTTCCCCGTGTTTTCCTGTAAAGCCCGTCCTGAAAAGGGCACCTTTCGCCTCAAAAGCACCGTCGACCCATGTTTTATGGCATCGGGAGCTAGGTACCATCGAAGCGCGGGTAGTTGAGAGTTCCTTTCGGGTTCCTTAGGATTCCCTACCGTGGATGGATGAAATCCTGCACCACCTAAGAAACCCTATGATGATTCCCATGCAAATACGAACAAACCACGGTTTACATGGTTTCAAAGCGGTTGGGGTTCCTTACAGTTGTTTAGGGAGACCACCCCGAATGGGATTGGCTGGATGATTCCAATGTAAAGGCACTTAGGCTTCCATTTGCTTAAGGCCCCTGGAAAAACAATTATCTAGTAGTGGTCGATTCCTTTTAAAGCCAACAAGGGAAAATAAAAACAACATATTCTTAAGCAAATGGAAGTAAGGAATTCTCCCTCACCCTTTGGACCCCCGACCTCCGCCCTTAAGCACAAACCAAGCGGCGCTGGGCCCTGTCCCGCAGCTCCCGAACTTTCGCTTGCGGGTCCACGCGCAAAGGGACTGAGCGACCGCTGGGCAAGCAGACGGTCACCTCCCACTCGACCCTCCCGTGGGGCATGTGGGGTAGGTGTGTCTTTAAAGGGACTCTCGCTTTGTTGTATCTTGGCTAGAAAGCGCATCCCCTGAGGTTTTTAGGTTTTTAGGGTTTGGTGGGGGTTCCCATCTACCAAAGCTGTCCTTTTTGCTTGGTTCGGTTGGGGTTGGGGACAGTTCCAACTTTGTGAACCCTTTCCCGGACTAGGACAGCAGGAAAGCCCTTGTTTGGTAGCTGACTTCGGGAAGGCCCCTGAAAAACAAGAAGGAAACAAAACGAGGGCACCGCGTGTGGTGCCATCCCCTTAATCTCAATGGTGGTTCGACGGGAACGGAAGTAGGTTAATAAACACCTGGTTGATGTTGATCGGGGTGTCCCCTTTACAATGGGAATCCTTCACTTTGGGGCCCCACACTCTCCTAGTAGGATTCGTTTACTACTTGGGTGTTCTGCCAAGTTAGTAAGTTGTTGGTAACCTGGGTCTTAAGCCACTCATAAGTCCCCCTAAGTGGAGCTAGCCTTGTTGGCGGGGCATAACCGCACCAAACCCAGCTGGCGTGGGCCGCGTGGTGCCCAAGGAATTTTCACCGCCTGGGAGCCAAAGTCAGCTAGGTCCTCCAGTAGAGAGGTTGGTACCAACTTCTTTCTGGTTTGTCTATTTTAGCAGGGGAACCCTCCCCAATAGATACAAGGGCACTGGGGGACATAATTAGTCAGGTTCAGGCACAATAAGAGCTACCCAGAGGCTCAGCCGGACCCTTCCAGGGAGGGTCACATGGAGCCTAGGGACACCAACCAGGGCCCTCAAATATCAACTCTTTCCGAAGGCAGGGGAGAAGTTGGGAGCGCTAGGAAGGTTTCCCAGCAACAATCACATCTGATCCCAAACACAACATGCGCCCCTTCAGATAAGAAGACACTTCCAGACGGGTTCGTTGCTCAGCTTCTTCTTTGAATGGCTTGGATTGGTGGCTTGCAGTTTAGGGGTGCTTTCCCCGTTTAACTACAAAAGCCAAGGGTTCAAGCGCCCAAGCCACCAATGAAGGCTTGCACTCCAACTGGGTCCTCCAGTCGAGAGGTTAGAATAATAAGGGTACCAACTTTTGTCCGTAGTCTATTTTAGTAGGGAAACCCTTCCCAAAAAAAGGGGCAGAAAGGGCACCACTAGGGGACCTAGCCAACAAATGGACATGCAACCCAAACGAAACGGGCAACTGAAAGGTCGGCGCTTGCAGCCTCGATCTGTCTGCTGCGGCTTCGCGAGCGTTCGCGCATGGCGCGAAAAGGAACACGGTGGACGTCTGGTGAGTGGGGTCTGGTTGCTGTAAGGGCCAAAAAGAATAAAATGAGTCAACACTATTGAACTAGGAAAACACAAATGGTTTGGACAATGTTAACCCCGGGCATGTGAGGTTACCATTCACAATTTCAACGGAACCAAGCCCAATACTTCCATAAGGGTCTAAATCATTAGACTGGGGTCGCGGGGTACTGGAAAAAAAAACAAAAAGTCCTGATCATTTTTAGTTTTCTTTATGATCATGAATCATGAGTGTGATTCGCCCCTAAGTTAGGCCTCTTTGGAACTGACTTTGCCTTTGCTGCTTCACCCTCGCCCGGCTCTGAAGGGAACAGGAATTCAGAGCTCAGCGGATGCATTTTGAACCAAACGTAGCGATGTGGACATGGTCAAGCACCCCAGCTGTGATTAGGGGGTCCTGGAAAAATACAAAAATTACCCGGGCCCTACCTTAAAACGGACAAGCACCCATTATTTTTGAGGCAAGAGCCCATTTTTCATGGCAGTTTTTCGTGTCCTACCCATTCTCTTGTGAGTCACAATCAAAACCCGGTGCAAAAATGGTCTGACCCAGAACCATGCTTCAAGAACTAAGAAGGCGGATATCCGCAGCTACTTATGGCGTGGATCGTCCCTTACTAACCTTCGTGTACCCGGGTTTTGAGCATGTGGCTCTTGTGGCTCGTTGGGCTGAGAAGGCCCATGCAACCCCTCTGCTCACCAGAGCCTGTGATGCCTCGTAGTTGGTTGCCATTTAGGCAGTGTCTGGACTCTTAAGTACCCCTAAAAAATGGGTTGCCCCAAAATGATGGTTGGTGAATTCCAACCTTTTTTCCCCAACGTTCGAAAGCTATGGGGTCTTTGTGCGTGGGCAAAGAGGCTCTGGGGGTTTGAGGGAGGGTTCTGGAGGGTTCCAGGGCTGGAGACTGGGGATGGCTTGGGTAGTTTGAGGCTTCAGGTGGTTGTTTTGAGCCTCAAACACATCGCCTTTTTTTCACATAGTTTTGAGCCTGAGGCTTTCGTTCCTTTGTTTGGGATCTCTCACCTCGTAGAGCTCGTGGAAGAGGTTGCGGCAAAGCTCACGCCTCAGGACGGAAAAGCTACCCCAAATACCCAGAAGGTACCCATCGGACCCGAAAGAACCACCGACTTATGAACAGAGGCGGGGGAATTCGCCGAGTCCATTTTGTTTTTTGGGTTGCCTTAGTTTATTCTATGAGTTGGTAGTTTGAGTTGGTGAATGGGCGAACCATTGGGTTTCAGTTGGTTTTTGGTTGTTCCCATTTTTTGGGGTAGTTTGAGGTTCCACCTAGCATGTGAACCCCCTGTCTGTAACCGGGACCCGGAACCGATCCGCTTACGCCCTTCCGACGCCGACGCTGCGGGCACCTGCATTGAGATTTGTGTCACTGGCTCAAGCGGATTGGTCCGAAAAAAGAGGGGAACAGGTTAGTCGCCAATAAATTAAGCTTCCCAAACTATTTGAAGTGAACATGGGGAAGTCAGCTGAGGTGATGCTTGAAATATCAACCCTCGATCGAGTTCTTGATGATTATTTGGAGGCTCGTAGGAACCCTGCGTAAGGAGCCCAGTGTCTGTGCTCTGCTCGCTGCTGTTGTCATATGCAGGACGGATGTCCTGCGGGGAAAAGTATGCTAAGTACAGCGGAATCACTTTGGGAAGGGGCGGCGCATAACTTTTATTCTACCTGAACCCTCAATGTTCCTTCAAAACATGGGTAAGAGCCCAAAACTATAGGGTGAAATCCTTTTTTTGTGGGTAGTTTGGTCCAGGTAGCCCAACCATTAAAAGAGTACAGCTGAACCTAGCACACACGGATTCATGCACGAACTCTAGCTACTCCTGCACCTGGCTCCCACAGCATACCAGCTCCAGACGCAGCGTTTGTAGCTTGGATTTGCTGCTAGGTCCTCCAGTAGAGAGGTTACAACAAGGGTACCAACTTTTTGCCGTAGTCTAGTTTAGTAGGGGGAACCCTGGGTGACCTAGGCTGGATATTCCTCAGCACCGTGGAAGCTCACCAAACAAGTATGGTTTATGTGTGCTCGAGCCAGGCTTTTTTCAGGGCACCTTACCCTGTCACGGGTGTCCGGGGTTTTCATGTGACACAAAGCAGAGCACAGGGGGCTGGGGAACCAAAGGACAACCTAGGGGTTCCTCCGTTTATTTTTTTGGATCCAGCGAGTGTTTGAGGCAAACACATCTAACCGTCATGAAACTACAAAGGTAATCCCTCTTGATACAACGGCAACTAGCAGCACTGAGCACCAATTGTGTTTCTCCAGAATATGACCCCCCTAGCCCATTTTGTTTGACCACCCACCCACTCGCTGACCCCCCCCCCCCGCATTTTGCTTGACCCTAAGATTGACCTAAGCCCTTTCTTGTCTTTTTCTTTGGGGGAGGCCCTTGTTGTTCGACCCCCAAAGACTCGATCCAAGCCGTGGCCCGAAACCCGAAACCGGCCATGTGAGCCGGCCCGGCCCCGAGTCCGCGACGGCAGAGCTTCCTCCGGCACAGAGCCTCGGGCAAAATGACGCAAGCTTCCTCAAGAGCACAGGCGACACCAGGTCCTCCAGTAGAGAGGTCAGAATAAGGGAACCCGATTGTTTTTTTTGTTTTTTGTTTGTTTTTCTCTGTAGTCTATTTCAGTAGGGGAACCCTCCCAACCAAAAAACAAGTAAAAGGGCACCTAGCTGGGGGACCTAGGACATGTTCGAGCTCGTCCCCGGGTTTTTGTGGGAAACCTACGTCCCCACATGTCCATCCCAAATGGACCACGGACAGGACAGTTTGAGACCAAACCGCAGATTGGTTCTGCGTCACCACCCCCCACCATGGTCATGGTACCCCCTTTTGCTGTGGAGTGATTGTGGGTATATGTGGGAGGGTGACGTCTGGCTCAAAAATGTTGTTCCTTTTAGCTTCCTTTGAACCAAACTGAAAAGAGTGCTCTCAAATTCCAAAATTGGTGGCTTTCTTGGCTTGTCTTTCAAGCAATTGCCCCGTCTACGTTCCTTTGAGATGTCATTTTGGGTGGTGCTAACTACACGCGCAAATGGAATCACTGGTCGAAATATGGGGTGTGTCGTTTTTGAGGGCACCCTTTTCTGATTCGTTTCTCAGGGAACCAAAGGGACACCCCACCTTTGGCGGGGCCATGAGACTTGAGAGCGAGATGGCTGGGAGCGAAAACTCGGCGGCCCCTCAGGCCCGCGCCTTGCAGTTCCCTGAGGGAGCAAGCGACCCAGGCCTTGATAAACTCCTCCACCTCAGCGTCCGGATCTCCCCGGGTCCATGCGGGATCACCCACCAGTCGCAGGAGTCCCGATCGATGCCCAGTGGGATTTCCATAGGGAAAAAACGGGCGCTCTTGTTAGCCATGAGGTTTTTGTTGGGGAACCCTTACCCATGCAAGGAGAAACCAGGATCCAACTGGGGTCCAGCGAACTTGCCTCCCACAAGTCGACTCGGTCGCTTCGGCGCTTCGGTTTCCTGCAAAAAGATGCCGAAGACTCCGAATCTTAGGCAGACCGCGGCCGCTGATCGAGAAGAACCACACCTGGAGTCTCCTTCTGACCCGGGGGTCATGGACCCATTTTTTAAGGGTTCTGGAGACTCCAGGCAGGCATTCATCTTTAGCCCAACTTGGCTTGGCGCTTGAAACCCGTTGAACATCGGCTTTCTGCCAGTTCATCAGCTAAACACCTGCTGAACAAACCCTGTCAACTTCTGGCAGGAAACGTGCGTGTTTTTTGTTTTTGTTTTTTTTCTCCGGCTCCCCGCAAGCTTCCCCAAAAGATCTGTTGGCGTGCTTCAACGGGGTTGATGCCCTGGGCACACCATGCAACTTAACCTTGGATCCCACCGTGGAGCTTGTTTGTTTTACCTTGGACCCTGCTTTTGTTCACCTTGGAGCTGCCTTTAAAGCTTGGACCCTGTTGTTGTCACCTTGACCTTCCTTTTCGCCTTCAGCCGCTTTTCATTCAGGGACGATTTGCCAAAGGAGCCGTACCGGTTCTAAGAAATGGGGTTCCTTCCGATCACAGCCCCACTCTCAATAGTTTTTTCTATGACACATTGGAAATCCCCGACCAGTCTTTTTTTGTGTGCCTGTAGATGCCCCAAACAGGCTGTTTGGACTGGCTTGAACTAAAGCACATGGACCTCTGCTAGCAGGTACGGGCCCAGCCAGCCACATATTGTATAGCTAAGCCTGAAAAACAACACAACGCCAGTACGGCGTCACTAAGCTTCATGGTGGATTAGAGTCAGGTTCCGAGTGGGGAATGCAGCAACACCAGATTCCCGGAGCAAATAATCATAGGACATGTGTTGTTCCTAGGTGACCCCTGCAACGATTTCCCTTGGTTCAACTGTGACTCGCTAGCGCCAACACATGCAATGTTCACCAGTCATGACCTCTTTTGTGGGAAACATGACGAGGTCCTGGCAAAACGAGCATAGACGTATCATCAAGAAACAATACACCCATTACAACTTCTCTACTCAGAGGTCCATTAGCCCCAGGCAAGTAAATTTCTGACCATGGTAAACAACAACCCCAAACCAGATGTAAAGAAAGACACGGCAAGGCCCCAAAACCTCAATACGAAACAGCCCGACATGTACCATGCTGAAAAGGTAAGAAGGCAAACTAATTCAAAAGACCTTCTTGCCTAGGGTTAGTGGGACTTGTCATCATAAACCTCTTCATGGAGAAGTTTGACAGTCAACCAGAATGACCCGTCCGAGTTTTGATCCCGGGCTTGAGTTGATTCCCAACGTGAAATCATGGTTTGTTTGGCTGGTGTCTAGGTCCTCCAGTAGGGAGGTTAGAATAAGGGTAGATGGTTTTTTTCTGACGTCTATTTTAGTAGGAGAACCCTCCCCCAAAAAAAGGGGGAAAAAAGGGCACCTAGCTGGGGGACCTAGGTGTGTTTAAAGGAACGCCATGTGTGGGGCTTCGGCTCCCACCTTTCGTCTCAAAACCTGCCGTTTGAGGGTGCCTGTCTGTGTTGGAGGCCCTCCTTTGACGGCCCCTTCCTTTTGTCTGCCCCCCCCTCCCCTGCCTTTCTTTTGACCCCATGGTCAAACCCCAAGATTCTGCCTGGACCCCAAACCCTTACAATGGGTTGCCCCAAAATTGAGTGAACTCCGAATATTAGGGTAGTTCTTTCGGGTCCAGCCAGCAGGTTGCTTTCCTGTTGGGTCTACCAAAACCATCCCACATGGCAAAACGGTTTCCCTTTAACTTTAATCACCCCAAAGAGGTTGGTTATGTTCACCCCATATTCATAAACCCGTCCTATTAGGGGGTTGTGGCCTCTCAAAGTGATGCGCTCTACTTAATGGGCCAACATTACCACGCCGGCATGGCCTTGATGGTAGGGGGTGGCTTGGGCACGCGAATGCGATGGTCCGAAGCAAAATTAGGTCGCGCATGACGTCCAACTGGTCGTCTGCGATGGCTACGGCTTCGAAACCGCCGTCGATACAAGTCACGGCGTCTAGACCTTCTTCTCCGGTTGTGCTCCTTGGACGCGCTGTTACTCACCGGCTCAATGAGATCGGTCGGTTCAATCCGATGAGTGGAGGTGGCCATCAGCGTAATAGGCACCGTCGGAAGAGGTGGTCCTACCGCTGAGGCTTTCGGGGATGCAAATGCCGGTGTCAATGGAGGCGGTGGTGGTGCTTGCCCGCCAGGCGCCGCAGGTTGAAGCGGCAGTTGTGGATGGCGATGCTGACCTTTAAGACGCTGTAGTCCAGCCACCAGGATAATCATTTGTGTGGTTACAGCGAAACCAAAAGGAAAACCGTGGCGCCATGTGGCGTCCGAATCCCAAAAACAATGCACGTCGCAAAACAAGGTCTCACGCCCCGACATGGCGCAACCGTTAAAGTTGCTTTCGGTTCCCCAGGAATTACCGTCCAAAAATGGTTGGTAATTACCAACTCCAACCCGAAAAAACACGTGACCCGCTGCCCGCTGCCACCCCGCAGATTTCTCGCGTACGGGGGTCGTCTTTTTCTCCCGCGGGGCGCCGTGCGGGATCGCCCTCCGAGCTGACCATGGCCGCCTCCTTTCTGCCCGCCTCCCGAGCGAAGGCTTCGACGCGGGGGTGGGAGGGGGTGAGGGGGCGAGGGGGAGAGGAGGGGGAGGGGGGAGGGGAGGAGGGTGGGGAAGGGGGGAAAGAGACCTGGACCCACCAAAAAAATGAGGGACCAACCACAAGTCCTCCCACTCGGCAAAGGGCATTAGTAGCTCTCCACGGACTTTAACTCGCTTAGCATCGCTTGGGAGGTTTGCGAAAGCAAGGTCCTTTTTGCGGTTTTGGCCGCTTAGTCCTCGGAAGCGAGGGACAAGGCAGCTGCTGCTAAAGCATTGCGCAGGCTTTTCGTTTTAGACACAACATCGTCCAGAAATGATCCGCTTGGCCGTCAACAGACATGGTGTACAAGTTCTTGTAGGTTCCTTTGCATTTGTTCACGGATTTGAGACAGGTTAGCAGCCCGACGCCTGGCACACATTGGAATGTTGAGGGCCCAGGCAGTTATAATAGGATTATGGGTCACGTTAAAACCATAAGGTTCAAAATGTCGCCCGTAGTTCTGTGTTTGAAGGGGTCCCTGTCCTGTACCCTATGGAAGCGTAAGAAACCCTAGCTCAACTACTTACCCCCCCAAATGGGATTTTACAATTGAACCACCGGGGGGGGTGGTTTAAGTCGACTTTGGGGCAATCGGCGTGTCTTGTCTAACGTTGGACCTCCCAAAATGGGTGCATTTGTTTTGGTCTCCCTTTAAAACCAACCAACAGGGGGTGCCAACGAAAAAGACACACCCAATCATACCTCAAATGAGATGTCTTGTTTCACGCCCTCGAAGGGGCGATCGATTTGGTACATCAAGGTGGGGACTGTAAATCCTTGTTCTTGCCCAAGGGCACTTACCACCATGGCATGGGTAGGTTGTAGCCATGTTCAAACTTTGATCATTTGATCCTTGTCTTAAAATATATTCACTTGGCCTGTCACTGAAAGTTCTTGTACCACCGGATTGGTCCCACTGTGGATGGTTGCCATGCAACAATGGTTGAAACCTGAAACCATTGCTGTTTTTACGTTGGGGAATCGAATCATTCCAGGATTTCTAAACGGTGGTGCAGAATCTCGTCCATCCACAGTATGACGACTCGATCGCTTTCAAAACGGATGACGTGAGTCTCTCTCAAAATGGTGGACACCTTTTGGTAGGGAAGCAAAAAGGAAACAAATAATCTCTTGAGTAGCCTCTCCTCATGGCACAAGTGACAGCTTTCCATACCACCAGACAACTGGACATTGGGTGCGTGTGCTTTTCGAGGGCACGCCTTGTTTGGTAGTCTTGAAGGGACACCAAAACGAAAAACTACCATTTTGGGGGGTCTCCTAAAAAAAACGAACCCATCAGCCGTGTCAGGAAATGGCGGTCTAAGGACACCAGCAGCAAGCCATTGTCAGATCACCTGAGTTGCCCAAAGGGCCTGGAAATAAAAGGTCAATCTGTTCTAGGTCCTCCAGTAGAGAGGTTAGAATAAGGGTACCTTTTTTCTGACGACTATTTTAGTAGGGGAACCCTCCCAACCAAAACAGTTGGTAAAAAAGGGCACCTAGCTGGGGGACCTAAACAATGCTTGCGCCAAGTGGATGAGCAGCGTTCGGACGCTGGTATCTGGTTTCCACTGGGATGTCTATTCATCTGAACTTCCAACAAAGTATGGCTCGTCACCTCGATGGACTGATTCTTCTCACAAGTGTCCTTTTTGGGAAAATAGATAGCGCTGGTCGTTGATTGAACCACCAGGTAAACCAGGGCCTTCTATTTTTCAGCCAAATCAACCAAAAAGGACACCTGGACCTGTGATTCTTCTTTTGGCCTGTGTGTAGTATGTGTCACAGCAGGGGCGCCCAAAAAGCGTGGATTGTCCTGCGGGTTCCCTTGACAACGACCCCCAAAAAGGCTACAGGCCCATGTCTCCGAACGTCAGAAAGGGCCTCGAAGGCGTTGTAGATCTTGTTCTTCACCACCTTATCCTCTACCTGGCGCAGAAAAAGAACACCAGGAAGCTGCACCTTTGGAGTCGACGGCGAAGGCCAGAATACATGGGCACTGGCTTTGCAAACACCCATTGGCTTGGTGCGTATGTCAAAAGCAACATATTCCAAGGGAAATCCCCCGATTGGTATGGTCCGGCTTGAACCGATTTTGCAAACGCGCCTGAAGGGACAGAACATTAAGCCCAACATTTCATGGGCTGGTAAACGTTTGGACACACCGCCGTTGTCCAAAAGTGCCCCTCGGCCTGAACCCCAAGTTGGACCGCCGGTCAAGCGAGGCCCATCTTCCTTACATTTGCCCCCCCCAAGGGTGTCGGTTTCAGTTGTAGTTGTCTTTGTTTCAGTTTGTTCGCTGGCAAAAGGCGATCAACTCGACCCGACAACAACACTAAAAGGATGAATTCAGCAACCAGAATTGCGTGTTTAAGGGTTGTTCTTTCGTGTCCACGCGCATGGTTCCTTTGGGCCCCCCTGAGTCCATGTTTTCCCGGGGCCACTGGATTTCCCCTCAAAATTTGCCATTGTACTGCTGGTGTCCATTGCAACTGCCACTTTTTGGAGGTCCAACAAAGGGAAAATCTTGAGGGCATCCAAAGGTGATGCATGGAGAGCCCGACCAAAAAGTCAGCCACCAAAAAAGATACCCTCCCACCAATTAACATGGAGCCTGACAGAGGCTCCCGGTAAAAAGTTCTACATGGTCTTCCAGAACCCGCCCTTTTAGGTCCCAGCTTATTGGTGGGAGGGCGAATGTCTGAAATGATGCTCTCTAGGTCCTCCAGATTTGAGAGGTTAAAAATAAGTTGGTACCAACTTTTGTCTGCAGTCCATTTTAGTAGGGGAACCCTCCCAACCAAAAAGAAACCGAAAAAGGGCACCAATTGCTGGGGGACCAAGTGGACTAAAACCTGCGGTCCGCTACCTATTGCACTCCTACCTGACGGTCGCATTGATTGTTCCATGGCTATCGTTTCAGCATTGCCACCCCCTTTCCTCCATTTGCGAATACGCCTCCTCAAAAAAACATGACAGCAGTGACAGATTCCCTTTACAACCAACAGGGGGAAACATAAGCCAGGGTGGTATCCCAAACAGCCCCGAAAATCCCTGGAACTCTCCAGAACCCTCCCTGAAAGCTGCCCCAACCGACCCCTGGCGTCCCCTTCAAGGGGGCAGGGCACTTGCCTTGTCGAACAGCACGTCCCAGAGCATGGGCGCGAACCGCTGCTCCTGGATGGAAAGAGAAATCCCGCACCCGCACACGAAAAAACACCCGCGTCACACCCCAAACACTACATATATATATATGATATATACATGCATGTGTATATATATATATATATATGTACATACTGTACACAAATGATTGGCACAGCCCTACCAACAAAAACCACGCACAAAGAAAATTTGACGGCATATGCCGTACTTTTGGGTGATGCCCCCCAATTTGGACCCCAATTTTGACCATCTAACTATGCCTGCATCTGCACATTCGCACCTAAAATGCTTTAAACGCTTTAAAGCACTTTTGGATTCAAGGTTCAAGATTCAAGATACCCAGGACTCTACATCTGGAATCTTGAATCCAGCCTGGGGCCCCTAAAATGCTTTAAAGCGCTTTCAAGCGGTTTCATTCTCTTGAATCTTAAATCTGTGAGCTACCTGGATGAAAGCGCTTTAAAGCGTTTTGGGGGGGCCATAGTGGATTCAAGATTCAAGATCAAGAGTGATGGGAAACTTGAATCTTGAATCTTAGCTCCAACAGTGCTTTAAAGCGCTTTAAAGCGTTTGGGAGCCCAATACTGGATTCAAGATTGGAGATCCAGAATCCTTGGGAATCTTGAATTGTGAATCTTAGATCCAAAAGTGCTTTAAAGCGCTTTAAAGCATTTTAGTCCTCGGAATCTTGAATGTTAGATCTGAAAGCGCTTTAAAGGGCAAAAAGCGTCTGCTTCATTCATGTTTGGTTGTGCACCTTATCGCTATTGTGGAATTGTGTGCAGTAAACGCAGTTGATAGTTCAGCAAATGAACATTGGATAGCTGAATTCTTAGAACATTACTTAAATAAATACACGCCAACCCTGGGATATTGAAAAACACACTGTAACTACCAGTGTAAATACCAGTGTGTTGCTCGCGTCTGGTAGGTTTTGTGCAGCACAGATTTCGTTCAGGGAAGTTAGTTGTTTTAGCAGACAGGGTGGCATTGGTCAAGGCATATAAGATGTGAGCTGGTGTTTTTGTTGGTATTGGCCAAGGTTTGCGAGCTGACAGATGAAGGGGATTTGTAAACGAGTTGAGATGAGAGATGGAAGATGCGTAGCAAGTATTGGCACAGGTTTGCAAGTTGACAGACAAAGAGGATTTGCACATCAATTGAGATGATAAATCGAAGATGCGTAGGCGAAGCAGAAGAGGCATTGATTGCTTTATTGTTGATACCCTTGTGCCGGTACTCTCACAGAGATGACTTACAGTCAATTGAACGAGGATGACATTGGTGATGAAGACTATGAACAAGGAAAATGATATGGACACATTTTAACAGTAAAACACGAGAGAACATCGTGGCTTATGTGAAGGCATATATTTTATTCTTGACTGACATGTTCAAAAACTTCAGAGGTGTATGTATGAAGTGTTATGGCTTAGACCCTGTGAATTATGACGCTTTACCAAACGTCGATTTTACACTTTACCTACCTTTCCTTCTGATGCTATGTTCAAATTAACTTGCGTTGGAAATCAATTTAGTTTCGACAACCATGTTTCAACAACTAGAGGCAAATACTTCTCAAATGGGCGCAAAATGCTTAATGAGTCATCTGCCAAGTCTGCCAACATTGTAATGAGAGCCTACATCCATCTAATATGACCTGACTTCCCTTACATAAGCGACAGGCGCGTTTGGTGTTTTGTTTTGTTTTTGTTTTGTTTTTTGTTTTTTTTTGGGGGGGGGGTGCAACTCATTGTATGCAACATATGGTATATACACACCCATATGTATAAACATTATTAACGAATATGTGGACATCACTTAGGCTTTGGTACTTGCGCGTTGTCCCCCCCAACCAGGGCCCTAGATGGCTGTGGGTCAAAAACACGCGGTTGCTTTCTGCTATTCTGCTAAAAGTGAATAACTTCTAGTGGTTTAATACGGAAAACCCATCAGTTGGCAAAAGGTTATTCAGCCCTAACATCCCTTGGCAAAATGCACCAAAGAATAGGTACCCGTCTTCGGAGCTCGGTGAAAGGAACCGTGGACTAAAACCTGCGGGCTACCTATTGCACTCCTGCCTGACGGTCGCATTGATTGCTCCATGGCAATCGTTTGCGTTTGAGCATTGCTGTTGTTGTTCTTTTCTTTTGATTTGCGAATACGCCCTGGAAGAAAACAAACACATGACAGTAGTGACAGATTCCCTTTACAACCAACAGGGGGAAGCATAAGCCAGGGTGGTATCCCAAACAGCCCCGAAAATCCCTGCAACTCTCCAGAACCCTCCCTGAAAGCTGCCCCAAACCACCCCTTATCGCCAATTTCTGGGCCCAGCGACCAATTCCATATAGCCTAGGTCCTCCAGTAGAGAAGTTAGAATAAGGGTACCAACTCTTTTCTGTCTATGTTAGTAGGGGAACCCTCCCAACCAAAAACAGAAAAAAGGTGAGAGGTCGGGCACCCTTTCGCCGGGGGACCTAGTAGCTTTCAGCTGGGCAAAAACTGATTTCTTGGTTGCTCCGAGCCAACGGGCTGAGGCTACACACCTCAGGCGCGGTTTAGAACCCCTTTCAAAGCAGAACAGCCAAGCCCAACTTCACCAGGTGACTCGCCATTTCCTCTTGAATCCACCCTGCACAACAACATTAACCCATTTTGGCTGTCTTTTAAAGCATCCCCAAAAAAGCGTACCCTCCAAAAACAGACCCACCCTCCCTGCCCAAATCCTCGAAGGCGCGATCGTGAGCATGCAAGACCTGGCAGGGTTCTCAGAATAGGAATCGGTCTCCTAAAAGGTTGGCTTTTACATACCCAGACGCTCACGGACTTTTTGTAGGGAGGTCCGACCCCTCTTAGGGACACAGGGCCCTCAAATCAACTCGAGTAGTTGGGAGCCTCTGGGTAGTCTTATTTCATAGAGGTCTCCTAACTTCATTGGGGTCCGGTGTTTCTCCAAAATGGGTGTCGCTTTTTTTTTCAAAAAAAAAACCAACAACCAAACCATCCAATGGAAAAGACCACGGTTTTGAGAACCCCACCTACCGAAATTGGCCTGGCGTGTCTCTACATGGAGGTGTCCGAAAAAACGATTCGGACTCATGTTTCGTGGCACATGCAAGCTACTCGCAAAAGTACCCTTAAGATACAAGACAAACCACTTCGGGGCAAATGAAAACCATACCTGAACCCTCAAAATTCAAAAAAAACACAAATAAACAGATATAGCCCCAATATTATGAAGTAACACACCCTTTTTGTTGTGGGTAGTTAGAGGGTCCAGGTGTCTAACCAAAAGTCGCGTCGCGTCGCAACCGATTCAAAGCCAACCTAGAGCACCCAGACCCTGAAAAAAGGCAAGGTGTGCCAAAAAACAGAGTTGAGAATTGAAAACCTGGTTTCTATAACCAGTACGAAAAATACGCTTTTTATCAGGGTTTAGTCGCACTAAGGTCGGAAACCCAAAGCTTTCTAAGCCCATGGCCTCTTCTAAGGGCCTTCGAAGTACCCGAAGCAAGGTGTTGGTTCAACGGGCAGTAAGCCCTCCCGGAAGCCCCCCCCCCTGACCAGGCCCTCTGAAAACGGCCTGTTGCGCTTTTGGGGAGAGCAGTCGAAAGGGTAGCGAAGCCTTCCCAAGCTGAGGTGTCGAAACTGGGAGTTGGGCCGTGTTGAAGAGGGAGCCACGCGGTTGGACCAGCTGGTTGCAACTGCCGGCCACAATGACCTTCTCCCGGAAGCGGAGCGGAGCCTGCGTGCCTGGAACGTAAGTAGGAGTCCTTCGGCTTCTGCACAGCCCTCTCATTGTATGGGACAGGTGAGTACTTCACCTTCAGCCACGCGAGATTGGTTCAGGGGCATACTGCTTGGCTTGCTCCATGGATTCGTGGCATAGTGCGCAGTGTGAACGAACACCTCATCCTCAAATGCACATTGTGAGCAACAGGAGGGGAGGCAAACTGTTCTAGTCACCTGGGCCATAACCAACCAATAACAGGGTCAACTCTACTTCGAAAGACTCACGGGCGAGTTATATAACGGCTAAGTTGCTAACAACTTACTGACTGGGCGAATCGAACATCCAAGTACCTGGAGTCTCCTCCTGACTCTTGAAAAATGGTTGGTCATTACCCAAAATAATGGTTGGTCATTGACCCATTTTTAAAGGGTCACGGAGACTCCAGGTACCCTTTCTTTAAAGGGAAGCCATGTATTTGGCCAGGGAATCCACCACACGAGTAGACGCCCAAGAAAACCCCTCTCACCGTCTCACCGCGCGGGCGGGCCAGGCCTGCTGCTCAAACAGCTGCTGCGGCACCTGACTGCGAATCCAACGCGGCACCTGGATCGCCAGGTTGTTTTTTCTTGCATGCACTCAAAACCCCAAAACCGATCGCAACAGTGACTGAGAAAAACGATCGCAACCTGGCTATCCAGGCAGGGGTTGTGGGCCGCAGGTGAAAGCGTCCGTGTTTCCCTTCATCATAATTTTGGAAATACCCTAGTTTTGACAACCACACCCAAATGAACAAAAAGGGACCTCCCGAGGTGGATGCCGAAATGTCACATTGCGGATGGACGAAATCTGCCAGCGACACCACTTGGGATGGATGAAACCCGAACTGAATACTGGGGTAAACCAACATAAACTACCTACCAACTGGTGCAGGATCTCTTGCAAGGGAATAAGTTGGAAACCCTGGAAAAACCATGGCTTTGTGCTTGGTTTACTTGCAACATATTTGGGGCATCCACCGTATCACGAAAAGCTTCTGCAGTAACTGTTTTTTTTCGGGCTTTTTGTTTCTTTTGGGGGGTCCAGCTGGATGTCCCGCTTCAAAGTTGCTCAATTTATTCCTTTACTGGTCTAGGTCCTCCAGTAGAGAGGTTATCATAGGGGTACCCTCTTTTTCTGCAGTCTATTTTCGTAGGGGAACCCTCACCCAAAAAGGGCGGGACCTTATCTTGGGGGCAGCTTCAGAGGCTTCTCCCAGCGCTATTCCTGGATCGCCGCGATTGGCCAAGCTGATGTACGAGGACACCAACCACAGCTCCAACACACAAAGCCTTTAGTCGCTGGACCCTCCAACCACTCGTCAAAAAGTGAACCCACCCCAGAACTTTCGTACAATAGCACATGCTTAAGGGAATGTGTTCGGGTGCCTTGAGTCCCTTAAGCAAACACATGGGCGTTCCTCTTGCACAAAAATCAAGGGCACCTTTGGCCGGTCACAACCCAAAAACGAGGCACCCATGCCTGGATCGCCAGTTGCTGCTTTTTGTTCTCTCCATCCACTTTACACCCAAAACCGATCGCAACAGTAATCGCCAGTCGCTTTTCTTCCATCCACTTTACCCCAAAGACCGATCGCAGTGACTGAGAAAAGCGATAAAGCAACTTGGGCTCTCCAGGTGGTTCCCGTCGGGGCCAACGTCCAAGACGGCCCATTGGCACCCGCCAGGTGCCCCGGCGCTCTGCAGCAAGTAGGGGGGAAACAGCTCCTTCACCGCTGCGTCGATGACCTCACGAGCTCTCAATGAATTATTCACCCTGGATGAATTGGTGGCCACCAAAAAACAGAAGTGGCCAAGGCCACCTATAGACCAATGACTGGGTCAACCGCACTTAAGGAGGATAAACAAAGTAGGTTATAACCGGTACAAACAAACCACTGACGAGCTTCGCCGAAGGTCCAAGCAAAAGTCCCTTGCTGTAGGCCCATTCTTCATACCTCAGGGAAGGGCGAGTGGCTCTTGGGTGAGCTACTCTGGTCGTACAAACCATGCCGCGCTTGGGATAACACTTATGCGTTTTACAGCAATCAAACGTTTCTATACCACTTGTAGGACTACATACCCTGCAGTTCTGTTACCACCATTAAACGAGCCGGGGGGGTCATATAACCAACATGGTGTACGTAAGGATTGTCATCATCCAAATTGGGTCAACCATTCTCTTAATGGAGGCGGAACCCTAGGGTATTTACTGCCCAAGGCAACTACCGGTGTCATGGGCGTGTCGTTTCTCTGGTGTCAATATGAGTGTTGTTGGGTCCCTCATTTTGACAACTCATATGGGTGCATCATGTTTGAGGTAGAGGGTTTGTGCTATAAATTCAAAGGACCACTATTCCTTGGCCCACATCTGGGGTACAGAACATATATTATTTCTCATTCGGCTTCACATTTAGTCCACCCTAAAATACACAACTGTTTGGAACAGACCCCAGATTCGTGGTGGACTACACTAAGGGGGTACTACCTACACAATGTCAGTCACAAATGTCGCAAATAAACTGTCTCTACCACACCCAGGTAGAAATTTCCCAAAAGGCTAACAGGGGCAGCAGGGCCAAGACATGTTTCTTCAAATGAGCCATGTCCTAAACGTGTCATGATTTGCTATGTCGTATCATTCTGCTTACGCCACCAGCTTACGCCACCAGCCTTGCGCGTGGAGTTGTTCCTTACGCCACCTTACGCCGATATGACATGCCTCTTACTAAACATGTACACGGAGGTTTTGGACGCTGCTCAAACTAGGTGCGGGCAATCGGAATACTTAGCTCAGTTCCATGGTTGCCGCTGGTGCTTCAAGGGTGCCAGATGGATGTTCTGTGCCAATGTCTGACCTGCAGCCCTCTTGTGGCTCAGCACACGACGTGAAAAAGACGAGAAATAGACCAAAGAGAAGAAGGCGTGCTTGGTGGTGGTTGGTGGTTGGTGGTTGGTGGTGGTGGTGTGTTTGCTTATTGGGCATCTCTTTCTCATCCCCCGAAGACCTCACGTTCCTTGCGGCTCCCCGCCATGAGGAAATCCACTTGCGGCAGCCAGGATCGTTCCTTCAAAGCCTGGCGGGGAAGCGCGCACCGGGACGACTCTCCGGGGTGGAAAACAAACCAAGCTTCGGCGACTCCGGCGTTGACCGGGCCCTTGGGAATCTTCCGGAAAGGAGACTTTGACAGGTTTTCCCTTGCCTAAACCTAGACTGAAACCACCAAGCTGTTTGAAGGACCTCTGTTATTTTCCTTTAAAGGGAACGAGGTACACATTTCACAACCCTGGTCATGACCCTATTGACCCAATGCAAACACCTGATGGTTGCCACTCAACTGGTTCTCGCCAGAACCTTCCATTTTCGAATACGTCCCCTGAAAAACAAAACCAAAGGGGTGGAACATAAAGCGTGTAAGGAAATGGAAGCAAACTGGCCGGGTCTTAACTGTATGGAACGTGAAGCAAACAGGAAGTTGCACCGGACAACAGCTCAACTGCCTGAAGCCCCCTCTGCTGAAGCACGTCAACTTGTCCGTCTCACTAGAAGCGGGAAACGGGCGCCCGTCCTACGCGCCAGTCACAGCAGAAGCGATGCGCTGCAGTGTTTTCGCTATCAATGGGGCTGCATCATTCGTGTTTTGGAGTATCCTCGCTTCAGCGTTGCTGGAGAGCTCACACATAAGGGGTTTTGTATTACACCCTGGGAATACACCCACTGGGTATTGACCCCATTTAGGCACATGTCCGGATAAAACCGTGTTATTTTGAACCATTCCAAGGGTCATGTCCCAAGGATGTAATCCCAGGGTGTAATACAAAAACCCTCAGAGGACAGTACTTCAGAAGGCGCATGATCCTCCAAGCCGGTGTTCGATGCTATCATCCACATGGCGCGTGTTCTTGTGTTTTTTTAGAAGAAGTTGAAGTCATCACCCAGAATAAGGATGATCATGTACGCCTTTAGCTGCTCCTCCACTTTGGTCCGCCGATGTGATTTTATAATATGGACCAGGCCAATGTGAATGGTTCACACCACAAGGAACTGAAACCGCCGTTTGACGAATGTAAGGAGCTCGAACCAGTGCTTCCAATTCTTGAATTCCTTGCCTACTGGCAACTCACTTCATGAGTTGGTTCAAACTACCCTCCCTCCCACATGGCACTAGGGGGCCGCACGAAACTGAGCTCTAGGGGCCAAGCTCCTACCAAGTGCCCTCAGTTTAATGAGACGTAGCTCGGGAATCGAGGTAAGCAGCCCAAGCTGCAATGGGCGTGTGACATTCGTTTGCGGGCACCCTAAGGTTGAAAGGCAGACCCGAAAGCAAAACGGGGTTTCTGGGGGTCCAAATCCCTGTGGACTAAATCCGAAATGCACTCGTTGGGATGGATGAAACCCCATGAACACTGGTTGATAAAACCAATATCAGCCGCCTACCAACTGGTGCAGGATTTCGACCATCCACTGGTGCAGGATTTGTTCCGTCCACAGTATTTGGGTGTGGGTCAAAAAATTGGTAACCTCCAAATGGGTTGCCCGGGGACAATGCGAAAAAAATGACTAAAACCGGCGGTCAGCTGGTGACGAATTTTGACCCACATGTTGCTTCCTAGAGTTGCTGTGCCCAAAAAAATGGTCCTCCAACCCCAAAAGTGACTCAAGTCCAGGGAGCGAGCCAGCTGTTTCCAATCAAACTACTTTAGCGCGTCTGTTTTTTTCTTGTGTGGCTTTAAAGGAACCAACAAAAGGAAAGCCGAAGCCAGGCTGCAGGGCTCCCTGTCTTTTTTTGAATGTACAAGTACCTTGCTTGGTGGCTTAAAAAAAAACAGAAACAAAGGAAAGCCGAGGCCCACGGAGTGAGTCACGCAAATGGAAGCCCCCTTGAAGGGTTGCCCCTTCTGGATGCATGTTCCAATCTGCTCAGTGTCATTTTTGCTCAGGCGAAAAGCCAACCGACGGGCCCCCAGGGCGCCCAGGGTCGGTCTTTGGATGGTACAACTAGGTCCTCCAGATATGAGAGGTTAGAATCAGGGTGCCCGAGCTTCTTTTTCTTCTTTTCTTTTTTCTGTAGTCTATTTTAGTAGGGGACCCCCTCCCCCAAAAAAAGAAATGGGTGAGAAAGGGCACCGATTGCTGGGGGACCTAGACAAGTACCTGTAGTGGCTTTAAAGGATCCAACAAAAAGCAAAGCACCGCAAAACCCAAGCTCAACGGCGCCTGGAAGATCGAGGAGAAGACCTGGTCTGCGAACTCCTCGATGAGCTCATGCCTACGCCAGGCTCGGCTAGCGAGCTTCTCACGGACAACTGTTGCCTTTTGCGTCTGACGAAAGAGAACAACTCGAAAACATTATATACAACACGACCTGGTAACTCAAAAAGCTGTTTTTTTCTTCTTGGCACTTCAGAAAAAGAAGTTGGTATGATTTCTATATGGCTGTGGGTCAAAACCAATGGTACCAATTTGGGGTAGGTGAATTCACCACCCATTTTAGGATTCCTATTTTAGTGGTTGGATTGGGATGTTCACTGGTTGGCTTGGTGGTGTTTTGGAGGGGTGGCCCATCTACCCACAAAACTTCGGGGATCGAATTCCCAGAGCAGCCAATCCAAACAAACCAATTAAGGGTAGCTTGATCAAGTACTGGCGCCCGCGAAAAAGCTTATGGAATGACCTCAAACTGCCCCCTAGAGGGGTATATGTCACAAACAGCCACTATATCGCCACTATACAAAGGGTATGTACCCCAATTTACTCTAAGAGTAGTGGGTTGCTTGCAGTTTCTCTTCTTCCGTGTGGGGATCAGGTTCACTCCCGAAACCCCTCAGAATCTTGCAAACGCTGGCTATTGCCGACAGTTTGCTGGCTCCTCTTTAGCGACCCGTGAAAACAAAATCGAATTCCTGATTCGGGATCTGTCCCCAAAATTCGCCAGCTTACTGATTACCACTTCTTAAAATCAACGCAAGCATCGGGTCCCCAAACCTGGTAACTAGCAAAGGTCTAGGGAAAAGACCGATCGGAAGCATTTTCAGTGAACCGAGAACTTCCTTGGCGCGGGGCACCTTGTGCATCGATCCGAAAGGGGGTCTACTTCTCCATGCGGCGTTTGGGTCGTCCGAAAATGGACCCTGGTAGATTGTGAAACAAGCAGGTCAACCAGGACCATCTATTCCTACCAAGACAACCAAGACCAACCAGGACCAGCTATATCTACCAAGCATTCAACCCGGGCCCAACGTCTATCTGAACCCTTGCAACGACCGAAAGCCCGAAAATGAGATCTTGCACTCCCTGAACCCCAAATCTGGGGGGGTTTCATAGTATCCCCATCTTTGCGGTTTTGGGCTTGACTCAAGGGAATTCGTCCAATCTGAGCTCAGATCCTCTGCCAAAGGCTTAACCTTCAGCGGAAAATCCAAGGAACCGGACGCCTGGGAAGCGCCAAGACGTGAGGTGCTTGGACCGTTGAGTCCCGCAGGCGCACCTTGTGGCTACTGTTCCTCACTAACCTTCACTTGCTTGCGTTCTTGCGAACTGGCTCATTTGAGCCACAATCAAAACCCGGTATTAAAATGGTGAACCCAGAACCCTGCTTCAAGAATTAAGGAGGCGGACATATCCGCAGCTACTTTTGGCTGGGAATGATTGGCCCTTGCCAACCGGATCATCTACCCGGGTGGTCCTTTCGTGTCCAGACCACTTGTGCCCATGCGAAACCCTCCGCGCCAGGGCTTGGTCTGGAAGTCCAGGTTCTTCGCAGCGTTGCGGAGGTACTGCTTGATCCTGGCCAAACGGGACCCGTAGAAAACCACCACCTGGAGTCTCCTTCTGACCCTTGAAAAATGGTTGGTCATTGCCCAAATCATGGTTGGTCATTGACCCATTTTGTAAGGGTCAGAAGGAGACTCTAGGCAGTTGCTTCTTCGTCCCCATGGAAAAAGTAAACATGGCGAACACCAGGTAAACCAAGAAAACATGGCGAACACCAGGAAAAACCGGCAATTTTCGAGGGTCCGGGGCCCATTTTGAGCGTACCCTTTTTCGGGTGTCTCAAAGGGAAAACATGAAACCAAGAAATTGTGGGGTACCCATTTTTATGGCAGTGTTTGTTTTGGGCGCACCTCCCCCAAATACCAACTTGAAAATGGTTATATAGCCCCCAAAATGTGGTTGGCGAATTCCTTCTTTACAGGGACTTCTTTCGGGTCAAGGAACATATTACCAGTGATAGATTTCCACTTTAACACCAACAGGGGAAACACATTCATTTCAGCAAATGGAAGAGAACAAATGCTTACGGTGAGCGGGAGTCGGTCTCTGAGAAACTCCCATTTGGTTGGTTCAGTAGCCTGAAATGGCTGAGGAGTACATGGGGTTTACTGTAGCCCACATAAAGCCAGGTACCAGGGTTTTTGGGCTGCTCAGTTGATCGCTCACCTCGGTTTGGGGAGCCTGACATAAGGGCCTGGGTTTGAGCTCCATGTTTTTTCGGCCCGAAATGAAACTCGAAAGGTGGCAAATCTTCTCACAACTTGAAGGGTCATCTTTGTTATTTTGAATGGGAAACTGGTCAAAGCCAGCCAGTCTGTCGCTTTAGAACACCTCTAGTTCTCTAGGGATCTCTACAACTCTTGGTACGGTAGCAAGACAAATTATGCAACTTGCAGCCACCCAGGAACAACGTGAACAGACCCCCCCAAACGAAAAGAAAGACAACAACAAAAACAAAAACAAACCAAAAAACTTGAGCCAAGAAAGATAACTTGAAAAACAAAACAACGGAAGAAAGAGAGGGAAAACAAATCACCAAAAAAGCACTTGAGCCAAGCACCAAAAAGAAACAGAAGTCCGCTGGCGGCGCCTCTTCTCGAGCTTGGCTTGGTCCCACTCCGTCTCCAGCGCGATGATGGGCTCGAGCGCCTCCGTCGCAAGCGCCGTAGGCGTTCGGGGCAGGATCTTCCGACTGGGGTGAGTCGGGTGAGTTGCCAGGGGGAAGCATACATGGGGAACCCACAAGGTGGGTATCTGAAAGAACTACCAACAAAAAAAATGGGTTGCAACCCAAAGTTGTGGTTGGTGAATTCCCCTTTTTGGAGGGTAGTTTGAGGGGTCCAGGTGCAGTTCTTCATTTTCTGAAACCTGAAAGGGATACCCAAACGCGGGGGGGGGACCTGCATTCTGAGCGCCACCGCAGCCTCGCCCTCGGAATAGATCGCCTTTCGGGGAGCCAAAAGGGGGCCCGCGATGTTCTAAGAACTCTGGCTCCTTTTTTCTAGAAAACCTCCGGAAAACCCGGCGAAAACGGATCCGGTTTCTGGAAAGAACGATGGTTGAGAATGGGGAATCAACCCCTAGAGTAACACTCGAATCCGCGGTCCAAAGGTTCGGCTCTCAAATGTTGACGGATGAAGCTTGGAATCCACGAATTTGGGGCAGCCCCGCCGAGGATCAAAACCAAGCAGAACCTCTACTTGGTCGAATTGGGGTGCACCTGCGAGGGCTCACCCCAAACTTTGGAAGACTGGCCAGCTTCCCTAACTGTGCCCCCCCCGTCAGATTCAGGAAAGGCCAAAATGGCAACGGTGTCCTTCCATTTGCTTAAGCCCCTGGGAAAAATATCTTCAGTAGTGATTGATTACGTTTAAAACCAAGAGGAGAGAATAAAAAATAGTCTTAAACAAATGGAAGTGTTCCTTCAGCGTCCCTTCAAACCAGACCCAAAGAGAGAGGCCCTTTCGCCTCGTCTGGCGAGACATCTCATTTTATTTGGATTTGAGGAAGGACCCTTTCCAAATTCAGGTGTGGAACCACCCTCAATTTTTTGGCAGTTGTACGTCCGTATATTCTGAGTCGAACCATATTGGGCCGTTTAGCAGCAAGTGTCCCCATATTTCCCATAATGAAGCCATAGATAATGATTAAACCACCGGCAAGAGGCTCCAACCCGGGATTCTTCTTAAGCACTACATTACGTAGGCTTTTGCCCCCTTTGGGCAAATGGTGCACGTTGGCGGGATTCCAGATGGATGCTCAACCTGCTTCGTAAGTCTCAACAAATCTTATTTGAGTGTAGTTAGTTCACCTCAGTTCTGTTGAACATCCCGAACTGATCCAGCCTTCCGCCTTCATGTGAAGGGACAGTCTTGCAATGGGTGCCAAGAAACGCTTCTCACCAAGTTGTATCTGTCGGTGGTCATCGAAGGAAGCCGCTTTGACTAGGCATGTGGTTCTGTTTGACCATGAGTTGACAAGAAATGCGCAATCCTGGAGCTGGAACCTGGGCTGCCAGATCCCCCGCTAAAAGTGACTAACTTTTAGTGGGCTAAATGGAAACTGCCACTAAACACTAAAATGCAAAAAGGCTAAGGAACCGGATGGCTGGGAGCCACCAAGAAACTATCAGACTTCTCGTTCACAAATGACCCACAGGCTTCCAGTTTGCCGCTGCGCTGGTTCACCGCTTGGTTTTACCCCAGCTGTTCATGTGTCAACCCTGCCTCGCATCCAAGCCCAAGCTATGTTAGTCTTTGTTCGGGTCATTTAGGCGGAGTCAGTAACTCGGAACCTACAACTCAGAAGGTCGCCGAAGTATCTCAACCGAACTAACTCGGAAACTCTGGATCCCCCCTAAAACTGAACACCTGGATCGCCAGTTGCGATCGTTTGTTTCCATGCACTTTACCCCCAAAACCGATCGCACCAGTGACTGAAACAAACGATCGCCACTTGGCTAAACCGCAAGTTCGCCCACCGGCGATTTTGCCCCCCCCCCCCCCCCCCCCCCCCACACACACACACACAAAAAAAAAAAAAACAAGAACCTCGTACCCGCCTGCGTCACCGCCGCGGAGAGCTGATCCTGATGTTCGATCCGTTCAGCTCAGGCTGAAAGCCCCACGTTCAACGTGAAGTTAGAAACCAAAAGGCCGGTTGGAAACACAGAAAAAAGAACAGTACACTCCAAAGAAAACCAAGGGTTCATATTGCTCTTGTTTGATCATAAGAACTAGGATATGTAAAGACGCAAATGGCTTGACTCATCCTTTCAGGAAAAGAGCAAAGATGTCTCATCCACTGACCTGAAGATCATTTTGGGAAGTCGGTTGAAGCCAACTCCGGGGGCTCCAACCAGTGCCTCCCGGCAAGCCACTCTAGTAGGTCACCAGGGGGAACCATCCAGGCAATACACAGACGAGGTCCTCCAGTAGAGAGAGGATAGAATAAGTTGGTACCCGATTTTTTTCCTGTAGTCCATTTTAGTAGGGGAACTCCCCAAAAAGGGGAAAAAGGGCACTACTGGGGGACCTAAGCAGGGAACCAAAGGGAAGCCATCATAGAGGTAAGGATCCTTGGTTATCTGGTCCAAGGAAAAGAACCCTCACTGCTGGTGGTTTCAACCGGGGGTCTGGAGAAACTCACAAACACCCGTCCCCTTTTAGTTCCCCTTTGGAAAAGCTACACGTGTGAGCTAAGAGAAACCCTAAGCGGTCAGCATTCACCAGAAACTCACGGAACCACAGCGCGCATTTCACTGAGTACATCTCAGAGATATGGCTGCGCCCCGAGGGGCCACCAGCGATCGCGTGCACCATGCCGTCAGCGCCGATGTACGGTGTGGGCCGCGTAAATGCTGCCTGCTTTGCTGCAGCTGACACGACTGCCAGGCTAGCGTGCTCGTCCTCGAGCCCAACCATCGCCGCGTCTCCAACAAGCTCCTCATTGTCATGTCTGTTGTCAAACCGGCGCCAGTCGGCCTGCAGCGTCGGGTGGTTTGCAGGCCGGGCGACAGCTTGCTCGCCCAGGGCAGCGTTTCGCCCTGTAGGCTTCAGCATCGTAGATTTGTTTATTGGGATGCAAGGCCTGGGTGGGTGAAGACGTAAGGCCCCTTTTTCCCCTCTTTGGCCATGTGGGTACTTGTGCTTTTCAGCAACGCAGCACGAAACCAACTCTTTGGCGAGAGGCATATGATCATATGACTTGGAATATGTATTTCCTGGTCCACTAGATGACAGGTAATGCCAGAAATGAAATTGACATGGAAAAGCATAAGATAACATTAATTCCGAAGAAATGCCTTGGAGAAACGCTAATCATAGCAATACATAGTCAGTTTCAACGATAAAGAGAGAAAGAGAAAGTAATAGAGAGAGAGAGAGTGTGTACATGAGCACGAAAGTACTAAACTCTTAGTATATAATACCAACAATATGTTCTGCATTGAAGCATATTCTGCAATTATAGCTCCTAAAAGAAGCACCACGTGTTGAACCTGTGCTGCCTCAAAATGTAATGCTAGATCCACAGCATGGAAACGACCTGAAGCGTCACTCCTAGGGGCTATCTTGGAACCCTCCGATGCCGAAACACAATTTCTTAGAGTCCACCACCCTGGCTTACCCGGCTTTGTATGGGTGGCTCTTTCGTTTGAAAAAGTGTACCTTCAAAAAAGACACAGCCATACTATGAACGTTTCTCAAAATGGTGGACCCATTTTGTGGTTACGGGAAACAAGGACACCAACTATTTTAGGGGATCCCTATGTTGAAAGCAAGAAACATATTTACACCTCACTCATACCAGGCAGTAGAGCCATCTACAAAACAAGCCAGTGAGGGTTCTGGGCGCCCTAAAACCGATCCTGACATGGGTGTACCCCTTCTGGGGATGGATTGTAAAGGCAACCATGGCAAACCAAAAACCAGTTTGGTGGTCCCCAAGAAACAGCACCCCAACACAAGGAGACTCACTCTAGATTGGCCACCAAAAGGGTGGATGTCCAAAACCACCCAACAATTGAAACTTACCTATGGGACACAACGGTGATGCGTCAAACCAGCAAACAAGGAAGCTACAAATCGGACCCTGGAAAACACGAAAGCCGCGCTTTCGAATGTCCTTGCCCTAAGCATCAGAAAGGACCCTCCATTGAAGGGGACAAGGGACTTCACTGGGCTGTCTTCAGATCCCCTGCTAAAAGTTTAACTATTAAAAAAAGCCCAGGGGATGGCCGGGAAGCACCAAGCTCAAACACGGCCATGTCTTGAGCACCTTGGTGGAACCCGCCTGCCAGTCATCTTGCCCATCTCCCTGCCACTTCTTCTTGGCCCACCTGGCTTGGACCGATCCGAAATCGAGTCGCTGGATGCGAAAACAAAAAAAACGGCCCCTTGTCCAAATCTACGAGTCTCTGACCCGAACCAACGAGTTGCCATTGCTGGTTCTCAGCAGAGATTGAGGGTAATTATAAACCATCCCTTGTCATCCCTAGACCCTAGGTCACTCTTACATCGGAAAACAAGGGAACCCAGGCAGAGCGGACACTGGGTTAGAGGCTGGAGCATGGCAAAACTTTCGCTGTCACGATCCGAAGATCTCGGCCTCTTGAAAAGCGTTTTCTGCGGCGCTGGACAAGAAAAAGAGGAACCTCTCCAAGAGAGAAAAGGCCAATGCTGCTGCCGTTTCCGGGTTTCCGAGCTGTGCCATTAGGCAGTCTGCCGGGGAACCTGAAAATTCCCGTCTTGGCTTCGGAAGACTCTACCGGAAGAAGTTGCTCAGCTGGGAAACCCACACGCGAATTGTCAATTTTGAGAGCTGTCCGAAAATGCTCACGTTAGTGGACCCAATTCTACTTTCAGGGGCAGGGGACTTTGCAAATGCCCCTGCTTGATCCTGGTTGTTGCACATCTGGAGCTTACAGCCATACCACTTCCTTCAAACAGGTGCTAGCGCAGCCCAACAATCGAGCGGCCCCAAAAATCGAGGCCATGTGTTTCGGCTTCCTGTTGGCTTCTGCTCTGGAATGTTCTGGGTAAGATTCTAGGGATTGATTTCCCCATTCTTTTCAATTGGTTTTCTGGAAAGAAGGACCCCTGGAAAGAATGGGGAAGTGTCCCCTAGAAAGATTGGGCATTCTTGTGCTCCTGATTACACCGATGCACTTCTCCTCAGGCAGGCTCCAAGCCAAACTTGCCTTCCATTTGGATAAGGCCTCAGGAAAAACACAAAAAAACTGATGAGTTCCTTTTAAAACCAACAAGGGAAATCAAAACTATTCTTAAGCAAATGGAAGTGGCTGAGCGAGGACATCTCACCCCGCTCTTGGACTAACCGCAAGATCCGATCCTTGGCTCAGATTTGCTGCGATTTCTCGCGCGCTTGCTCCTAATTTTTAATCCAATTGTAGTGTCCTGCGGCCAATTGCAGGTCGCAACCACCACCAGTGGCTCTAATTGAGCGCAGGGACTTGCCGTGCCTGACTTATTTACCACACCTCCTGCTGCATCTGCAGATGTCAGTTCGAATCCTCTGGGAAGGGGCGGATACGTCGGCTGCGGGCAACTGAGACCCTTTTACCCTCAAAAGGAAAATTGAGCTGGTAAGGTCCATCAACCATTTTGGAGGATATCTCTGGCCCTTACAAATAACTATGGTGCCCAAAAGTCCCACGTGCCCGAAATGGGTGCCCGCCTACCTAGAGCACTTGATCGCTCCTTTAAGCCCAACTTTTCCAATGGCCATCTGCGCCATTGTCAATCTCCTTGTGGAGTTCATGGTCATGGCTCCCGTCAAAGGGACCGTTTACATTTGTTGCGCAGAAATCAAAGAACAAAAAATGATGGCCATCTCTACAAACCCAAAGCAACAGAAAACGGTCTTCTGACCATGGTCCATTCACTTGTTAAGCACACGTCAAACACTGGCTGGTCTCCTTTAGACGGACAACACCCAGTTCTTCCTGTTAATTACATGCCACTCCTGGTGGCAACCCCCAATTGGTTTCCCTTTCAACCGACCTGAAACAGGCATTCTCCAACGTGCAACCTGACAGGGGTCCTGGAAGAAGACTTTTCCTCTGCAAAGGACACGGGAAAGTGCACTCACAACCGCCTACATCGGACAAACAAACAAGCGGGGATACGGAGGGAGCGGGGATATGGGGGGATTCCCTTGAAGCGCCATTTCCCATATATATCAAACTTAAGGTGATTTAGGCGGAATCCTCCCGTATCCAACTGGTTCCCCCTGCTGCTAGTTGGTTTCCCTGACTACACCCGAGTGGTCTTATGGTATAAAGTTCGGGAACTCCAGTAGTTCAGTAGATCCAGAAAAAACGGGTTCACATGTTGGGCCCATGTCAAACAAATAGGCCAACATCGAAAAGCCAAAAAATGGAAAAAAACAACATGGAAAAATGCAAAACCGAAAAATAAGCCAACCTCGAAAAACCAAAGAAATGAAACTGAGGTAGTGAGCCCGACCGATCGAATGGATCGCCTCGCCGGCATGAGGCTGACCCCGGGTGCTGCTACCAGCTCTGTGCCGAAATTTGCAGGAATCGGACTGACCTATCATGGGGGCTGGGGGGGAGGGAGGGGAGGGGGAGGGGAGCCCGTTTAAGCCCCTATTAAGCCCTTCATAAGACCCTATTTTTGGCTTATTTGGGTTCCCCCCCTCCCCTCCCCTCCCCTCCCCTCCCCTCCCGCCAGGTTTCATGAACCTAGTGGCGGTGAGCTGCAGTCAAGCGCTTCAGCTTCCCTCTTGGCGGGTTGGCTGGGTGGCTTGGATGTTTACAGGGTATCGCCGCCATTTACCAATCCGAACCACCAACTGAAGGGTACCTCAATGCATTTTGTCGCAAGAAAACTTGGGACCATAGGTGTCCTTTGGTAGTTGATTGAACCACCAGGTAAACCAGGAATCGCCCCCTAGTTTTAAACCAAATCAACCAAAAAGGACACCTATGCATGGGACACTTACCCTCCAGCAATCATTGAAGCTGACGGGTGGTTGGAAGAGTATGTTCACTTTAGCCCCCTATCACCTAGCCTGATTGTTGGAAAGAGGGTAGTGGGTCTTCTGGCAATTTTTTGGGAGAAAGTGAGCGAGTTCCCCCATGTCCCCCGGAGGGGGTCTTACATTGTAAGTCGACTTCCTGCAAAAAAATCCAAGAGACAACTCTCACACCGCCCCCCGGCGTGTGGCTCTAAACACACCTTGGCTCTCATTCGAATGCCTTTGATGGTCCAAAACTTTCTAAAATCCATAGGATCGGTCCGTACAACCCCCCAAAACCCATGGCTCAGGCCCAAGACTTGATGCTTGCAGCGAGGGTGTACAAATGGGATCGCTTCGAAAGGGCAGTGGACATGAACATGATTGTTTTTCCGTGGTCTTTTTTTGCTGCATGACTCTTTGTCTAGCTCGTCCCCCCCAGTCATTTTGCCGAAATGGATCACAGATTCGCACGGATCGTGCGCTCTCGAGCTTTAGCGTCTTTCAGACTCCAGAGATTGGTGGCTTGTCATTTTGGAGTTGGCACCCACTTCTTTGTGGTGGAAAGGAAACCTCACGTTTTGGGGGTCCGCGACAAACACACCACCGCACCAAGAGACATTTGGGCCCAGTCCAGCATGCTCTTGAAGAGGTGGAACAGTTTTTGGCCATTCTTCTCGGATTTTCAGGACCATATTCAGCTGTTGAATCCTCGCTTCTAACGAGTGGATGGCCTAAACCAAGTAAGCAAAACAACAAATGCTATGCCCATGGGATCATGGGCTTCCAAGAAAGTGACGTGCCTAGAGTCCATGAGCTCAGGGAGTGAGCGGTTCAACACATTCAGTGATGGGTTGTGAAACACGTTCCCCAAAAAAAACCGAACCGTCCGGTTCTGCTGATACCCACAAATCACAATATAAAGCGTATGTCTTTTGCCAAATTCCCTCGGATCGGCGCTACGGATTTTTCCACAGCCAAACTTACGCAACAAAGTCGGCCTTGCATTTGGTTTAGGCCACCCACTGTTTGGAAAAGGGGCCACGTGGTAGGTTGGGCGTTTCTCAAATTTTTGAGGTCACCTGAAAAGACTTGCTGATAGGCAGGGAATGAGTTGGAATGACCCCTATAAACCAACTGGTGGATTCCTCGAGGACCTGTGGGTAGATTCCAACTCTTTCCCTACCTCTTGCACCAAGAAAATTGGTTTCCCTTTTGCTTGAATGAGGTCCGAAATTCCCAGTTCAGCATTTGTGAAGTCACGAAGCTTTGGTGCCCCTCTTCTTCGGTCCGATCCATTTGCCTGAAGAGGCAACCAAGGCAACCAGGCTTTAAAAACCCGAAGTACAAGGGCTGGTGACCTACCATAGTGGTAACTGGGATCCACTGGCGTTTTTGGGGAAGGGAATATTCCTCCTGCAAGGCGCAATTTATGGCTAAAAGACGGTCATTTCCAAGAAAAATACACGAGAACAATCAGGTTTTGGATGGGTGGAAGCATTATTTTCAACATCCACACCATGTTGTCCAAGTCAACTGCTTCACACATGCATATTAGCGCTCCTTTCACATCTTAGATCCTAGACCGCACAATAACAAACACGTTTGAACACACATCATGCTAAAGAATCACATGGTAAGATGATCCGCCTCAAATCAAAAGACATCGCGTGCCAAATATAAGGACCACACGCAGCGCATGCTGTGCAAACAAGTTCCATGCATGCAAACGTCCGCCCGCCTCTTATCCATCTGTGCCGTACCGTAAAGCAGAAATCGAACTCATTTTTTGTTCAGCATGAGAGTATTCAGCTGCAAGCAGGGCTTGCGCATGAAGCAGGCTGTTTATGCAAAGGAAGAGTGAGCTAGTGATTCCAGGGGTACCTTTCCCATTCTTCTCACGGATCCTTCTTTCTAAAAAACCTCAAGAAACCCACGGAAACGGATACGGTTATTGAAATGAACGATGTTTGAACAAAACGGTTGGAATGAACCCCTACAGAGATGCGCCAACAACGTATCTAGTTCATCTGACCCTGAACTCGTCACACTCTGCATCAGCACTTGCACTCGTCATGGGAAACAGAACCAACCTGCAAACACGATCAAATACCAGATATTTCTTGGTCCAATGTCCCTTGGAGCATAGACTTGAGGTTGAAGATTTCAAAGTATACATCTTTTAGTTGGATGTTCATTCTACTTAGTAGCCACGCTGATAACTGGGGTAACTGAGGGTAGTCGGCGTATAACCACGGGTATAGCCTACTTGCTACGCAGGTTGAACATTCATGATCCAAGTAGCAAATACTTGGACCCTAGCCGAACCAAAGCACCCTTCACTCATTGCCCTGCCAGCCTGCGCGCCGAATATAAAGATCCTCGCTTGCCCGCCACGCGTGGCTCATCTGCCCAGAGCACCTTTGGATTCCAAAACATGGACCAAGGGAAACCAAAGGTTGAAAGGTTGGTTCGCTTTGGCCAACCGGGGTGATGACTTTCCAACACAAACAACTCGATCCAGACTTTGTTTGTTTGCCGCTCCCTGGACTGCACCCCAAAAAAAGGAACTCACCAACCATAATGTTTGAGGGCAGTTATGAGGGTTCTGGTAACATGTGATCTTCCAACAAAAAGTGACTCATGTCACCTTTCATGTGGGGAGTGAGCTTTACGCGCGGATGGGGCTGTACACAAAGCGAGTGGTCACAGACGCGAAGTTGTTCTCCGTGGACGAGGCCGGCTCCGGCAGCAAAGACACGATCTGCACCGCCTGAGCGCTGCTTGGATGGCCAGTGGGCTGGTTCCATTTCAGGAGGAGTTTTCTTGAAGGACCTGGTCTTCCAGCATAAATACTAGGTCTTCCAGTAGAGAGGTTGGACTAGGGGTACCCTTTTTTTCTGTAGTCTATTTTAGGCGGCATGTGAGTCATAATCCAAACCCGGATTAACAAATGGTCTACCCAGAACCATGCTTCAAGAATTAAGAAGGCGGATATCCGCAGCAATTTATGGTTGGGATTGTCCCTTACCTTCATCTACCCGGGTTTTGATTGGCTCACCTGGTCTTCCAGCAGAAATACCTCCAGTTTTAGGGTTACTCCTGGCTTAGTTAAGGGGGGACAATACTCTCTCCTTTCCTGAAAAAAGGATTTCAGTGTATATGTTGAAGGACCTCCAAATGAAATACAGCTCCTTCTATAGTCAAGGGGTGGCATCATACCCTACCATACCCTGAAAACAAGGCGGGTATTGGGTCTAGGGGGAATATGACCCACAGGGGCTTGCCGTGACTTTGGGGCAAAATACTCTGGCTACAAATCGCCCTTTGAAGTGCCGCGAACTACTCGAACCATGAATTTCTACCGGGTGCTCAGCGGGTTTCCATGAAATAAGGACAAACTTGCCGACAAACAAGGCCAAACTTTTGGCCACATACAACCTAATGTTGACCCTGGATTAATAAACCCCTGGTTGATTAATAGGGGTGTCCCCTTTTAGTGGGGATTCATCACTTTTGGAGGGAACTGTCCCTTTTTAGTGGGGATTCAGACCACTTTTGGAGTTGGACCACCCCCCGGACGGGTTTATGAATCCTGGGTCAACATTAAACGTGTCCCCCAGTCCCCAGGTACCCTTTGCGGGGTCGGTGTCTAGCTTTCAGAGAGCCAAACAAACTTGGCGTCGGTGCCCCGATTGTTTGAGACAAGCCCACACCCGCTATGAAGGATATTTAGGATCCCGAAGCTCCAAAATGGAGCTCCTGACACCTTCAATGGAGTCCTGGAGGGTCCAATGATGCCTAGGGGGTGAAATGAAAATCGGATCCCCAGGACTAAACCATCAGCACATACCCACTCGGTGGACACGTTCTTGAGCCACTCGGCTCAAAGGGCGCACTGCTTGGCTCTTGGGAAGACAAAACGAGCAAGGGAATTCACCAACCAGAATTTGGGGTTACCATAACCTACTTGTTGAGTTGGAATTTGGAGGGTCCACTGGAAATCAAAAGAAAAAAACACACACACACACACACACAGCTTTTTGGAGACACACCGGAGAAAAAAACAAGAAACAGAAAACAAAAACGATCACACACCCAACAAGACACACCAACAAGGCTTTCAACAGGCCGCCCCCCAGCAAGAAGACCCTCACCCAAGCTGGGCTGTTTCAAAATGGAGGGTTGGCCAATCCGAGTTTCCTTGATCCCCAGGTATGATGACTAGAAAAGGGACCTTTTTCTCCTTGCGGGAAGGATCTTGCGGACTACCTTCCCAGAAAAACAAAAAACAAAAAAGACCAAATCCTTGATCAGCAGCGAAGGGAATCTGCGGATGACCTTTGAACAGCCCAAGAACCGTCGAAAACCATCGCCTGCAGCAGGTTGCGGCCTTTCTCCGCCTCGCCCATCTCTTTCAGCGACTCCTTTCAACGGATGCCGATCCATACTGCCAGTAAAGTCAACCACAAAGCCATTGCAAAATTGGGGAAGTTGGAGGTTCTGTTTGGGTAAGTTAGAGGTTTTCTTGTTAGCCAACCACAAAACCATGGCAGATTTGGGGGAATTCGAGGTTTTCAGTGAGATAAATCATGCTTTTGGCAGTTGGGTTACAGTTGGGTCAAAGCAAACAATTGCCCCAATGTTGGCTCATTATCCCCCTTACCGGCAGGAAGGGATCATGTAAATTCACCAAAGTGATTTCCTTTGCTGCAGGGATAATGGCGGATATTGACTTTTCTCATTCTACACTCGTTTAGCTGCTCCCTGGGCCTTCGAAAACAGTTGATATATTAGGGGCATTTCCTGTTTGGCTCCCTAGAAGGGCTCCTTGAGCGCCTGAAGATAAACCAAGCCCAAGGAGTATTCCCAGGTGGAAACCTTTTTCATGGGGGAAACCAAACATGGAAGCCAGAAAGAAGAGGGGTGCCCTTTCCCCTAACACTGTGTGTTTCAATTGAAATGTGTTCACCAAACCCCAAATGTAACATCTTAACAACGCTGCCTGAGACTCCTGTTGGTCCTTTGGCGGGGTTCAAAGCCCAGGTTGCCTCCTTTGGTCGCCGAGCGTATTTTTCCCCCTCTCCCGTTGCTTCAAGCTACCACGAAAGCAGGTAACCAGGGATTGTCACCAAGTTTTTCATATAATATTTTCCCTGGTTCGAGTACTCAAATGTCGATGGGATTCATGAATCTGGTGGAGTAAAAACAAAGGAGACTGTTTCCGGAAAGGGAAACAGAGAGTCATATCTGAAATGGGACACCTCCTACATAACTATAAATCAACTGAGTGTGTTCTTCATCCTGGGTCCCCATTCAAGTTTGTTCGTCACCCGCAGAGCTTGAGTAGGCAGAGCACCTCAGCAAGTGATCCATAAGCATGGTTACGCCCACTGACCATTCTAGGGGTGATCAAGCAAAAGCCAAAAGGTCATTTTAGGTCGGCTTGAACAACTGAGACTTTGGGGGAAGATGGGGAAGCTTCCAACCATTCTGAATCCAGGGATTCGGGATCCGAGCCTTTTCAGGAAACTATCAAAAACCCAAGCAGCTGGATATTGAAAAGAACGAGGGGGAATCGACTCTTCACTCCATGATTGGGTGTCCCCCAAATGGGCTCAGAAACCTACGTCGCGAGCAACAGGCGGGAAAAACAAGTTTCATATGCTCAGAATAGGATTATTACATACAGACCTCTAGTTCCCAGCAGGAGGAAAGGACAGCCTCTTTTGGATTGATTTTGGAAGACGCCGCCACCCAATGAAAGATAAAATGAAATGCCCCACTGGAGGAACCGTCATGGGCGAAAAAAAAGAAGAGGAATAGAAGGATGGGTGGTGGGCTGCTTGAAACAGCTGTCCTGAGCATAGCCCCTAACCTTTGCATTTCACTTACGCTACCCTGATATTACTCATACCCTCCCAATGCCTCTTACACTATCCTCACTCAGTGCTTCTATTTACCGGTATAGTAGCCAACCAAGGGAACAGGCCATTGACACCAACAGGAACATGGCAAAGGGTTACCCACCTTGGCGAAACCGATTCCTGGGATCCACTGGGTGCTGTGGATGGACAAAATCCATTTCGCACCAAAGAAACCCTGGAATGATTCGATTCCCCAACGTGAATACCAACAAACGCTAAGGTTTCAATTTATGGTGACTCCTGTCGTGGCGCGAACGGATTTCGCAACCACCCGCAGGACGCCTGATGAATAAGTTATAACCAAGGTTATAACTGGTTTAAGCGAAAGTTGGCCGAAAAAGCCATGGTCTGGGGTTCAAACCACAAGTAAACCAATGGAGGCTCATATAACCACCATTGTTTACCTAAGGATTCCTTCATCCAAATTGGATCTGGGTTGCCATTCGGTTTTTAGGGGGCAAGGAACCCCAGGGCATGGTTCTCGTTAAACTCTACGGCTACCTTCCCCATTCTTTCCAGGGATCCGGATCTTTTCAGGAAACCATGAAACACCCAGAAAAACGGATCCGGTCTTTGAAAAGCACGACGGTTGAAGAGAATGGACAAGGAATCAACCTCTAGAATTATCTACACCTGGACCCCCAAACTGGGAGCCTTCTGACCCTTAAAAACGGTGGGTCATCACCCAAAAGAAAGGGAACCATGGCCCCATGTTTGAAGTCAGGGAGAGTCTAGGTAAACATTAAAGAAGAGTCAACTCATCCCTGAAGTTTGCACTGATTTGGGCGTGTCCCTAGCTCAAACTTGCCCTGGGGAAGCTGGTTTGGGGGTTCACTGCCATTGTTGAAGGCACCAAGTCCTAGAGTTGTCCTTCTTTGGAGTCTTTTCCCTCCGATTGGTGGTTTGGAGCGGAGGACCTCTATGAATCAACCACTAGAATAACCTAATGTTGACCAAGGATTAATAAACCCGTCCCATTATTGGGGGGAGTTCCCTCCAAAAGTGGTCTGAATCCCCACTAAAAAGGGGACACCCCCCCCGATCAAAATCATGCAAAGGTTTATTTATCCGGGTTAACATTGCTTCCTTCCTCTAGTCTCCTTAGTAAACTACCCATATATTACCTACCTGCTTAGTCAGTATATATATATATATATTACTAGTTGACCACTAAGGCAGCTGAGGGAGTTGAATCACCTCTTCCTTCAGCCTCCCCGGGTCCCCCGCGCATCCGGCCCCCCCCCCCCGCCCATTGCCTGCAGCTGCTCGGCGCCCTCGGCGCTGCTCTCGCGCCAGATGGTCACCACCCGCACCGCCGCCGCCAGACTCGGCCAAAGGAAACTTCGACTCAAGTGGAGTTCGAAGGTACCAACCCCACTCCAAATACGTGTCATATCTGTGTACTGTGTAACATATGTATATATATATATAAGTATCTTGGCTGGAATTAGGACCCCTGCAAAAAATAGGTGTTTGCCTGGTTAGTGGAAAACAAAGGGAACCCCAAAAAAGTAAAACAAATAAAAAGGGGAACTAAGTCTGGGGAAGATATATATATATACAGATATGTGCGTATGCAAGTATGTATTTGTTTTCCATATGTGCATGTGTGTCTGTCGCCAACCCCTGACTGAAACAGAGATCAAAAAAGCGTGCAACAAGTTGGTGTCAGGGAGTAAGCAAATCCAAGCCCGAGCTCATGGATCTCTTCTGGGTGCCAAATTGGAGGTCTGGGTAAAAAACGCAACTCCCATCCCCTCGTGGCTTGGGAAACTCAGAATAACAAATACTATGGCTTGAGCACTTTGTATGACTCATGGTCGATCGATGCATATGTAAGCTAGAGTTAACTACAGAGAAAGGGACGTACCATAGCTGCATTGGTCTTTGACCCCCTACAAAATAACCGGTTGCTATTCTTTGGGGGAATACTCTCTGCCCAAAGGTTAAACGCCTAGCTCCGTCAAAACAAAGAGCTGCCAAGTCAGAGTCAATGTCAATGGTTTTCTCATGTGGACCGCTTCAGCATTGCTAAATACATCGAACACTCGCATTGAATAGGCCCAAAGACATTCAAACCAGCAAAAGCGAAGATGCAGCTAACCCGAAACCCTGACTCATTGTACCGACCAGTGGTACAACAATGCTTCCCAAAACAAAAACTTCGATTACAAGGCTATCCTTTTCAGTTTCAACATGGGCCCGTTTGGTGCCAACAGCGAACAATATACCTTGCCCGTTTCCGCAAACATGACCTTGATCAAAAATGAAGGCGTAGTACCGATTCCAGGTGCTACATAGGGATCTGAAAGAAATACAGTACCCCTTGCAGGTTTCCTTGCAAAGAAAAGTATACACGAGTAGCTGACAATCTGAACTCATAAGCCGAAATGCCACGCTGCCAGCTGCTGTCAAGAAAATTTGAGATCTCCACTTCCGCAAAGCTATGGCCCAAGGGGACCCAATTTGGAAGATGAACGGCAAACAATGGTGGTTGTATGACACTCACACAAATACCTACTTCTTTTCCGGGTACGAGGCCACCTATAGGTATTTACCCTGCAAGCCCCGGATTTTCCGAACAACAATATATACGTGTTTCTTTCTATTCTGTTTGTTTTCTTTTCCGAGAACAAAAAACAGTTCAACTGGTCCCGGCCATTCGGGAGTGGACATCCCGAGATAAGATCCGAGGGTCCCGGCTCCCCCCCATCCTTGGGCCTCACCTGCGAGACAAGGAACGACTCTGGTCGCGTCCGGGAGAAGGATGGGGTGTATGTAAATAATAATAATAATAATAACAAAATATATGTATGTACATATGTACATGTATGTGTATATATATATATATACACATACGTATCTATTTATACACCTGGACACTGAAAATACATAAGTCAATTAAAAAAAATAAAAAAATAACATGGGTTGACCCAAGCTGATGGGGTGAATTGCCTTTCTTATGGGTAGTTTGGGAGGTCCAGGTGTGTATATATATATATATACATATGTTTGAAAATTATTGTATATGGGTGGCTTGGTTTTTACTGAAGGCCCCCTATAATGGCTTGTTTTTTGCAAGGAAAACCAGAAGGAAACCCACCAATTTTGGGTGCTTACATATTTTAAGACCATGCCCAATATGTTTACCTACCCTCCCAACATGGAAGCTACCAGGAGGGGTGTTGGACAACGATTTTCTTTGGGAACTGGCATACATGTTCCCAGCTGTTGGGTGAAAGTGAGTGCCACAATGTTCATGCCATGTTGGTTTAGTCTGACAGCTTGACGCATAGAAAGGACATTGTCCCTGGTGTAACACTATTCAAAAGTGAAACTCGACTTGAATACGGCCTCGAATTTCATGCCAGGTTCCGAGCGCCTCCGGTGGTTTTGACTTAGCTCATCGAGCCTTTTGGAGGGGATTTTTGAGGCTCAGGGTAAACCCAACCATCTTTATGGGGTTGTCACTGTCACATGTCAGGCATCCTTGATTGTCATATCCGGGGGCGCTTGCAGGGACCCATACTTGACGCCTTCACTTGGGGTCTGAAACGAGGCGTTTTTTTCTTTTTCCGACACCAAAGCCATCAATGAGACCAATATGTGGATCCGATACTACATTGTAGAGCAGCTTTGGAGACAGCACATCCTCTCAGACTGGGTGAATGCAACAATGACAGTTGACTGGACCAACATAAGAGTGAAACTTTCGTCGGGCGCCACTTTGAGGTGTAAAAAGAGAACTGAATACAGACTCAGGCGTGTAGCTATCAATCCTCGCGAAGGCCCTGTTTGAATGATAATTGAGAGCCCCTTTCTTTCGGGTTCTTTGGTCGGTTCTTGGAGGATTCCTTGGAATGCCTTAGCTAGGTCCTCCAGTAGAGAGGTTAGAATAAGGGTACCAACTTTTTTCTGTAGTCTATTTTAGTTGGGGAACCCTCCCCCAAAAAAGAAACGGTAAAAGGGCACTACTGGGGGACCTAGTTAGGCACCCCCCCCCCACCCCGCCCTTGGACCACCCGCACCACCCGGTGGGATCCACCCAAATCGCCTCAAAGAGCTCCGAGACGCGCAGAGCCTTCGCCTGAAGCTCGACCGATCGACCGAGAGCTGGCTTCCATGAAGCCGGAGCTTGAACCCCTCAATTTCACTTTGTTTTTTAAAGTTTGTTGGACAAAAACTATCAAATCTCCAGTGATAGATTCCCAATATATCCAACAGGGGGAACCCCGCTTCTTCGTCCTTGCGCCCTCCATTGAAGGGGGCAGGGTCTCCATTGCAAGGTTTTGGACCTCAAAAAGGCCGTTTTGGGGGCCCAAGATGCTGAGGGCTGGGAAGACTATCATATCTCCAGTAGTGATAGATTCCCTTTATATCCAGCAGGGGGATAACAAATGGATCCGTTGTTGAACATCAGTTGGCCATCTAAAATACGCCTGAACCCTCACACTGCCAACCCCAAAACATTTTTTAAAGGGTCTGGGGGCAACCACTTTTCAGATTCCGACTCTCAAAACTCATGGCCAATTTTTGTTGGGTTAGCTGGAACCTCCATGTATCTAGGGGTTCCATCCTCTGGTTTACTTGAAATGCGTGGCATCTCCACTGAGGGATCTCCGGGGTACGTCTGTTTGTGGCAGTCAAAAAGGGCATGTCACAATGGGATATCCAAAGTCGAATCACCCTGGCACCTCTCGCTCCGTTCAACTCCCATGGTGCCCTCACCAAACACCTGAACGCAACTCGTGAGCCACGTGTCAAGCAATTGCTGAACGGATATGTTTGCACCAGAAGTGATAAAAGGAAGCCACGCATGGTTTGCTTTGTTTTTGATGCAATTGCTTTGGATCTTGGAATCATGGTTCCTATTGTTGGCTGCCTCCAAGGCATTATTTGAGGTCTTTGGGGGTTAAAAGGTTCTTGTATATTTAGGGTCTGGGGCTAAGGGTAAGTCTGGGAATAGCCATTGCCAGGCCCAAACCTAATCCCAATATCAACAACTCCAGCAAGGGAGCTGGGAAAACGATGCCCTCTGGGCTGTCGAAGCTAAGCGTAAGCGCTCCCAAATGCCCACTGATCAAACATGTTCACAGCACAGATACACGAGAAATCAGCAGGGAAACAATGCAGACCGGTCGGACCTTCTCCCATTCAAGATACTCCCATATTTGAAAAAATGGTGAAATCAGCCCAAAAAAAACATGCAGACCTTCTCCCACTTTTCAAGATACTCGAGTTTCCCGTGGCCAAGTTCTGTGAGACTCACCTTCACCCAAAGACACCTTTGGCGAACAATGGCGAACATTTCCGAACAGGCCTCAGCGGGATGTCCCAAGGAAACGAGCCAAGTTGCATTGGCAAAAAGGTGAGGATTAAAAACGGGGGAAATACAGGGAACCTGGCAGGACGAGAAAAAAACACGTTGGTAACCGCGACCATCGAAAGGACAAAACACCTGATCCTGCTATAGCTGGATGCATTGGGTCGGCCGAAACCTTAGGGACCTCCATTTGTTCGTTGCGTCCCTTGGAAAAAACAGACAACACCACAAAATGATTGCCTGTGAAAACCTGGGAAAGATATACGCATTCCCCCCTGTAACGTGGAACCCGCCAAAGGATCTCTTTTTGAAGGCAAATTCCAAACAGGATCCCTTCAGTGAGGCGCCATGTTATTCTGGGCGCCCCTTCTTTGTGGTTTTGAAGGAAACTCTTTTTTTTTTGGGGGGGGGGATTCGGGGGATTCGGGATCTCCAAAAAGAAAGAAACATCCCGCCACCCATCTTCTTCATCACAAAGGGAACAGGCCCACCCCGGGCTTTCCCCCCCCCCTTTCTTCAGACGGGCGCCCGGGCCATCTCCGGGTCGCTGCGCGCCACCGCCCCGGCGGCCTGCAGGCGCCACTTCCCCGCCACGTCCCACTCCGCGTCGCCCAGCGGCTTCAGCCGCGGGGTGGGGCCTGGCCGCGCGCTCGCGGCGCGCGGCGCGCGCGCGCGTCGGGCGGGGAGTCGTTTCGGGCGACTGGGGCGGGTGGTGAGTCGAGTCGCGGCGGCTTGTTTGTGTCGGAGGGAAGACGCCAAACGCCAGGGGCGACAAGAAAGATATTCACAGGCACTCTCAAAATAGCCGGAGAAAATGGGGTGATTGCCACGGTGAATTCTCTGTTTTTATGGGAAGTTTGAGGGTTCAGGTATGGGCTTCATCGCAGGGGCCCTCAAAAAGCGGTTCCCAGTTTGCAATGGAGGGTCCGATATCAGATGCTTGCAGGTTGTCTACGTCATGAATCTTAGAAGACGGACCTGGCGCTCAACATGACCAATTCATCACTTAGTGTCTCCTTGGTTTCGTACCCAGCAGTTCCAGACAGGCAAGGTATCTATGTGATTGCCCAGGATTTTTTCTGCCTGACTCACTGGGCTGTGGACACAAAGGGTTGATCTGCCCAAACCTTCCAGGTGTGGCAGGTAACCAGGGGGTCCTTTGAACAGGCAAGTTTCTATGGGATTCTTCAAAGCTTTGTGTAGCACCTTGAAAACAAAAACAAGGAATGTGCCATGGAACGACCAGGTGTTCCAGTTCCGAAGAAAAGTACTTGGATGGCCATACGAGTTGGAATGTGGTCAATAACCTTGGCATAAAACTAGTCCCCTAACTGTTGACTGGGTTGTATGTAAGCATAAATTCTATGTTGCCATGGGTCAGAAGCCCGTACCCCCAGTGAACATCCCAATCCCCACTAAAATAGACTAAAATGGGCGGTGCACCTACCCCATAATGGTACCATTGGTTTTGACCCAGAACCATATCCCTCTTCAGAGACTTAGTAACAAGGGTTTCTAGCCACTTACAGACTGGACTGGCCATTAAGAAGGACTGCGATGCAGCACAAGAAAGGGTTGGTGGATTCAGAAATTCAGACACGACAGCTGGGCTTGTCTACTCGTTTTTTTCAAACTGTTAGGTCACATATCGAATAACCACCTCAGCTGTACCCCCACCTTTTCCTGCATAGATCTACTTTCCGAAAAAGCTGCCCAAGGGCCCCAGAAATAAAAGCTTCACATGTTGAGGCCATAAGAATGCACCAAACTCAAACCAGATCCCGTCAGATCCATTTTCCGAGTTAAACATGCAATCGTTCCAGGGGTAACTTCCCCATTCTTTCCAGGGATCCTTCTTTCTGGAAAACCACCAAAAAACCCGGAGAAATGGCTGGTTATTGAAAAGAACGATGGCTGAAAATAATGGGGAATCAACCCCTAGAATTGTGCTTCGTCTTGCTCGCTGCTTGAACCCAAACGGTCGCCCTGGACGAAGCACCGCGATATATGTGCCGCACAAAAGGGAAGTCAGAAGGCCGAAGCTGGGCGCAAATGGTGTTTTTTCCTCTTGGTTTCACTTTAACACCACCTAACAAAGGTATCTCCATGAGAAAAAAAAGGAAAGAAACAACGCAAACCCATGTGTTTGGGAAAATGCCCCCAACCCAAGTAACGCAAGCCGTGCTTGGCCGCAACCATCCGCCTTGGTAGGGGTTGGTGAACAAATCTCACATGAATGTCTCCTTCTTTAGGGGACCCACAAAACCAGTGGATTTTCCTGTTGGCTTCCCTTGAACACCACAAACCAAAGGTACCCCGACCCCTCCCCCCAAACAAAAAAAAACACTACCACATGTTATTCGACCAGCGATTGTTTACAGATTCTTTGGCGGCTTTCCGGAAAGCTGGAGCCCAGAAATTCGGTGCACATGCAACAGCCTGGTTTTCCGTAGTTTCCGTCGAAGGGGTCAACAACTCCCTTGGTTGATTCACCAGGAAGGGCACCTATTTTTCAAGCATCCTTCTCTTCGAGAGGCAATCGCAGAGTCAGTTGCTCTTGCACCTGGCTGCTGTCTCCTCCCTGTGCTGGACGGCCCCATGTCACAACAGCTCCAGATTCAAGAATTGCAGCAAACGCACTGGCAGTTGTTTGGATTTGCCGGACATTCCGAAGCTGATCCTGCACCTTGCTGCTGTCTCCGCCCTGTGCTGGATGGCCCCATGTCACGACAGCGCCGGATTCAAGAATGGCAGCAAAAGCACCGCTGCCAGTCACTTGAAGTTGCTGAACATTCCTCAGCTGCTCTCGCACTCGGCTGCTGTCTCCGCCAAAGTGAGAACTGCCCCAAGTCACAACATCTCCAGACTCCAAAATGGCCGCAAAAGCACCATGAGTTGCCTGGATTTGCCGAACATTCCTCAGGCGCTCTTGGACTTCGCTGCTGTCTCCGCCGTTGTCAGGATCACCCCATGCTACCACAGCTCCAGATTCAAGAATGGCAGCGAAAGCAGTGCCAGTTGCTTGGATATGCTGAACGTTCCTTAGCTGCTCTTGCACCGAGCTGCTGTCTGCGCCAAAGTAGGGACTGCCCCAAGTCACAACATCTCCAGACTCCAAAATGGCCGCAAAAGCGCCATGACTTGCTTGGATTTGCCGAACATTCCTGAGGCGCTCTTGCACCGGGCGGCAGTCTCCGCCGCGGTCATCATCACCCCATGTCACCACAGCTCCAGATTGAAGAATGGCGGCAAAAGCAAGCGAACTTGCTTGGATTTGTTGGATGTTCATTAGCTGCTCTTGCACTCGCCTACTGTCGCCTCCAAAGAAAGGATCCCCCCATGTAACAACAGCTCCTGATTTCAGAATGGCTGCAAAGGCAATGTCAGATGCTTGGATTTGCTGGACGTTCTTCAGCTGGTCTCGCACCTTGCTGCTGTCTCCGCCCTGTTTTGGATGGCCCCACGTCACAACAGCTCCAGATTCAAGAATGGCCGCAAAAGCACCTGCAGTTGCCTGGATCTGCTGGACATTCCTGAGCAGCTCTTGCACTCGGCTGCTGTCTCCGCCACAGGCTGGATCACCCCAGGTCACAACATCCCCAGAGGCCAAAATGGCGGCAAAAGCACCGTGGTTCGCTTGGATCTGCTGGACATTCCTCGGTTGCTTTCTGCTCCCCTGCTAACAATTGCATTTTTAGTGGTTTAATGCAAAACCCAACTATAATTGGCAAAAAGTTATTCAGCCCTAACATCCCTTGGCAAAATGCACCAAAGATTCCTCAGCTGCTGCTGCACCTGGCTGCTGTCTCCGCCGAAACGCGGATGACCCGAACTCCAGGTCACCGCCTCCCCATTTTGCACATGGAGCGCAAATGCCAATCGCGTGGCCGCCAACTGCACGGGCTGCGCGACCGCATCCACTACATCCCCATCTTGCAATCCGACCTGGCCATTCGGTCACTGAACACACCATTTCATAGCCGCACAAGGGCTCTGGATTCAGAGTCCCCCCAAAAAATCGGGGCGCCAACTGGGTCCTCCAGTAGAGAGGATAGAATAAGGGTAGCAACTTTTTTCCGTAGTCGATTTTAGTAGGGGAACCTTTTCCCAAAAAAGAAACAGTACAAGGGCACCAATTGCTGGAAGACCTAGTTGTAGTTCCCTCAGCCTGGCTCACGGTGGCCGTCACATCCAGCTGCCGCCCCTTGGCGATGAGCTTCAAGCGGCGCTGGAAATGCCGCTGTGCGGCGGCCTGCAGTTCCTGGGCGACACCCTGCTAAAAGTATAACACTTTGAGTGGTTTAATACGGATAAAACCCATTAGTTGGCCAACAGTCTACAAAATCCGGAAAATAGTCATAATCCGTTTCATGGGTAAAACCCAACTAGGTTGGCAAAAAATCATTCAGTCCCAACATCCCTTGGCAAAATGCACCAAAGGTTCGCTGATCGCCATCTCTGGCGAGACGGCGACACGACAGCAGCTGCCGCTGGGCAGGTAAACCTCCAGCTTCATGGCGCCGGAGAATTCACCACGGGCAAACCTGCCCGTTTTCAGATCCCCCGCTAAAAGTGACTAACTTTTAGTGGGCTAAATGGAAACTACCACTAAACACTAAACGGCTCAAAAAGCTAAGTTGAACCGGATGGTTGGGAGCCAAGAAACCTCCAGTTTCATGGCGCCAGACAATTCACGGGTCACCCATGGATGGGAGAGTTCTAGAGACTTGGTTGACATTGGAAGGGGAGCAAACATGGATAATTCTAGCAGTTCGGTGGATTTGGATTTCAATCACTAAACCACAAGCGAAATGTAAAATGTTTCCCAACAACAACCATGGAGAGGTGCTTCTAGAGAGGTGCTTCTAGAGAGGTGCCCCGGTATCACAGGGCTTGCAAGCGTGAAGATGGATTCTGGATTCTAGCTCCAGCATTCGACTTCAATTGCCATGAGACCCTCAGATTTCCGCAAGTTCAAATTCACCAAAGAAGGCCGTGAGATGCTTGCAAGATTGTAAAGAGGACTCCCATTTGTCGAACCTGAAGACACTACCCTCCAGAACCATGGCCGCATGATTCAAACTGGCTGGTGTCATGCTGGCTTCTGCTTGCAGCATTGCATGCTGTCAGATCCATCACATCATCACACGAGCCATGGTCAAATATCGCGCTTCCCGTAAAGGATATGAACAACAAGTCCCTTGCTTTTTGATGTGGGAAACTTAGTGAGTCCCTCCATGTCTCTGCCTCATGGGCCACAGACTGGATATGTTTGACCGAACTTCTTCCCTAGAAGCCCAAGACCCTACCCCCAAAAGACATGAAGTAAATAAAGTCTTGGGACCCTAGCTAGGTCCTCCAGACTTAAGGGGTTAGATCAAGGGTACCCGATTTCTTTCTGTCGTCTATTTTAGTACGGAACCCTCCCAACCAAAAAAGGGGTGAGAAAGGGCACCTAGCTGGGGGACCTAGCTAAGGTTGTGTTTCCTCCACGTCGCGTTACTCTCAAGTGGAGGCCCTTGCGGAGTGGAGGCTGCCATAAGCCAAGATGTCAGCCATCTGAAGCACCCAAAGGCTCACCCGACCCAATGGCCCCGTAAGGCGCGTAAGGCCCTATGAAGAACCCGAACCCATAACCCAACAAATGGCTAAATCGGGTTTGCTCAGTTGCGTAAATACATTGCTTTGCATAACCATGGCACACCTGTTTGCTTCCTAGCCAAGCAAGTCCAAACTGTTGAAATTCCGGAAGCCGTTATCTTCACCAACCAGTACACAAAAACCTCGTTTGAGGGGCAACAAGCACGTTCGTGCACCAGCAAATAGTATCCAACCATCGATATCAACAAATGGCGTTGATCCCTGGCTCTCTCCACCCATTCTGAGAAGCCGTTCGAATGATAGCTGGGCTTATCGGAAGGTTTTCTGAAAGAATGCAAGTACAAAAACAAACCGGGTGTCTTTTTTTGAGGATACCCTTTCTGGACTGGTT